CTGAGCAGCCGGCACTGAGTCTCCTCTCGAAGACATTGCTTCATCTCCAGCCGATTGAGTGATTCTCGCGCCCTCGCCTCTCGGAAACATGGATGATTCGGAAGAAGAAGAGAGAAGAACAGGCGCACGTCGCACGCTTCGAATTTCCTTAAGCTTGGGGTTCCTGCGTGGCTCTTTTTGGACATTCCGTGAAACCGCTCTGGAGGGAAGTGAAGATGATGGAGTGGAGGACGAGAAATTGAGGACGAGAAGGGTTGTAGAACATATATATATACACACACTCGCACATTCACACATATACGCCACCCCACCCACGCCACGCCCGCGACACACACATGTACGTGTCAAACAACATCAGTGAGCTGGGCTATCCCCCCCTCCCACGCCCTCTTCCTCTCACTCCTTGCTGCTGCTGCTGCTGCTGCTGCTGTTGTGGAGCCCCCCGTCCACCAGCAGCACCAGCAGCAGGCTGTGGCAGGTTGTTGTTGAAGCCGCCCCTGAAGCCCTGGCTGGCCGTCGACAGGGAACAGTTCTGAGACATCACACACACACACACACACACACACACACGTGAGAGAGAGGGTGCGATGATGCGTGTGCCGATGGATGGATGGATGGCGGTTCAACAAGTTTGGGTCACTGACGGGGTGTGTGCATTTGAAGCAGCGGAAGTCGCCAGACACATTGCCGAAATCAGCCGTAGCATAGTCCATCTGACCACAATGATGGGGCAAAGGCAAGCTACTGTGGGGTGTGCGCCTGTCTGTCTGTCTGTCTGTCTGCCTACCGGTGGGTTGCGGAAGCAGTGCGGGCAGATGTGGTGCGACCTGCCCGTCTCCTCGTTCCTCACACTCAACGCCTACCGACACACAGAGAGAGGGAGACGTTGATCGTGAGACCGACCGGCCGACCCCCTCAGTAACCAGACCTGGAAGTGGCAGATGGGGCATCTCTGATTGTGTGCCGTGAGCTGGCCTCTGGATGGCAGCTGCAGCACGGTGGGGCAGTTGTTGCTGTAGTTGGTGCACACCAAGTAGCGATCGTCCCTCCTGCGATAGACTGACAGACAGACAGACAGAGGGAGAACCTCACCATCGCCGGCCATGTGTGGTCTGATTCATGTGTGTGTGAGTGCATGTATGTGTACCTCCGCCCCCCGCCGCCCCACCACGGCCACGACCACGACCGCCCCTGAACCAAAATACACACAGAGGCACACACGCATCCATCACCATAATGTCGGGTGCTGAAGAATGTCGGCTGACCTGCCCCTGCCCCTCCCCCCTCGCCCCTTGGCAGCAGCCTTGCCGCGACCACCACCACCGCCCCTGGTTCCTCCCGCCGCCCCACCATTGTTGCCAACAGCATCACCAGCCAACACCGTCTGCGACACACAGGCATATATTCCCGCGTGTCGGCTCGTGTGTGAGCAGTGCCCTCTTGTCTCCCTGCCTCCCTGCCTACCTGGAGGTCCATCATGCCCTGACACAGGCCGCACTGCGAGAAGGACGGCTGCACGTGGCGGCCCGGCACAGCGCCACCTGCAGCACCAGCCCCCCTCCCTCGGCCCCGCCCTACCTGTGGGCCGCCACCGGCACCACCCTGTTGCTGCTGCAGCTGGTCCATGAGTGCAGCACCCAGGGGGCGGAAGAACTGGGAGAGGGCATTGTCGAGCTGCTGTGCGTTGGAGGTGACGGTGGTGAAGATCTGACGCATCCGGGCGACCAGGTCGGCTAGCACCACAGCCTTCAGGAGGGGGGGTGGTGCGGTAACACGGAGAGCAGCGACACGGATACGGACGGGTGGGGTGCTCGCGGCGGTGGTGTGGGTGTGGGTGTGGAGCTGACCTTCTGTTTGGTGCCGCTTGCGATGTCGTTCATCTCTCGCTCCATCATCGCACGGACGTCGGGCTGACCACACGCACACACACGCCCAGCCAGCCAGCCAGCCAGCCATCGATCCACTCTGCTCATTCATTCACCTTTGACAGGTCGATGCCTTGGTTGGCGTAGACCTGCAGGCCCTTGACGAGCCCGACGCCCAGGTCGGTGGGCCTGAAGGCGCCCTGCGCGTCCTGCTGGGCGTACTGCCGGTCCTGCACCGTCTTGATGTGCTCGTGCATCGTCGCGTCGGTGCCGATCCCGTGCTGCCCGCACAGACACACACAACCGCCCCGCCCATCCATCAATCAAGAGCCACACTCGCCTTTGGTTGAAGCTGAGCTGACCCGGTCCATCTTCTCGATGAGGTCGGCTTCGCTGAGAAGGGGCGGCGGCTGTGTCTGACCCTCCTGAATGAACAAAATGGGGGCGGTGGTGGTGGTGGTGGCGGCGGCGGCGTACGGTGAGGTCGATGGAGGTTGGGGTGCACTGCTCGTTGGCCTCAAAGGGCGGCAGCTGAGTGCCCGTCCTAAGGCGAGGCACCCGACGCAGCAGAGCTTTGTGCAAGGTGTGTGTGTGTGTGTGAGTGAGTGGTGTGCTGTGTGTGGTGTGGCTGACATGACGGGCCGCCCACCAGGTGTCGTATGTGTAGATGTCTAGGTAGTTCTTCTCGTGGACTATCAGCCCGTTGGCGTGAAATCCCTCACCTACACGCCCGCACGGCAAACACACAAGGAATGGATGAGGCAGGAGCGTGTGTGTGTGCGTGTCTGTGTCTGCAGGGGGCGCAGGGAGCGCACCTCCGAGCTGGATCTCCACGACGGTCTTGGCGCCTCGGGCATCCTCACTGAGCAAACAAACAACACGATCACACGAAAGAAATGCCCCGACGGGTGTCCACCTACCCGCCCACCTGCAGCAGGCCAAGAAGTGACGGACCACAAACTCGTATATCTGACGTTGATTGACGTTGGATGAATCAGTCGACATGAGAGGTTCTTGATGGTGGCCTTGCGCTACTTCCGTCTGTCTGCCTGTCTGCCTGTCTGTCTGTCTGCTCACCCTCCACTCATCGTTGTTTTGCATTTCGTTCCTCTCGGCGCACTTGACGGGGTGGATGGGAGGGTGGGCCTGGTCGTCACGATTGCCACCTCGGGGCGCAGAGAAGCCACCTGATCGGTGCGATCGATGCACGCAGCACGGGATGAGGGAAGGCTCGTCATCCACGTGCTTGTCTACACACCATTGCCGAGGTGCTGCGCATACTGGCCCCATTGAGAGTGACCGGTGTGCCCTGCCACCTGCACACAGACAGACAGACGGCAAATAGATACACACGCAAAGTCGATGCCACCCACACACAGGCTGGCTGGCCCTTTCTCGCTCACCAGTGCCGGCAGGTCCATTGTGGGTGGGAACTTGTTTGTCTCTGTGCGGGGGTAGCTCAGCAGCCCACGGTTGTACAAGGCCTCAGCTATCGACATGCACCTGCACACACCACAACACCACACCACACCACACAGGGATTAGAGTGCAGTGCATTGGATGCGGTGCAGTGCAGTGTAGTGCCTGTGCGACGAGATGCGGAACCGCCGCGAGACGAACTTGGTCATGTCCACAGTGCCTGAAGTGAGAGCGTGTGTGCACTGATGGCGCCTGGGGTGTTGAGTTTCGTTTGTGGGCACTCACTCAACGGCAGCGGCTTGTACTTGGTGGCGGGGCTGTGGGTCACCTGACAGACCACACACACACACACACCCTGGTGCGATGCAATGAAGCACCATTGTTGTCGCTTACGTTGACAACGGTGGCCCGCCCCTCCTCTACGCACATCTCATGCAGCAGCTCGACAGTGGGCCTGTGCACGGGCCGCACACACAGACCCACGCACAAAGGGATTGGCCCACTCTATTCGCCACACAGACGGACATCTCGCTCGCTCACTTGTCGAAGAGCCTGTTTCTGTCCCAGCTGAAGTCCACTGGCACCAGCTGGTTGTTGCGGCTCGTGTCACGCCTGCACACACAAACACACACACACACACAAATGCAGGCGGAGTGTGTCTGCTCCTGCCTCTCTCCCTCTCTCTCCGGCACTTTTTGATGACGACTTTGATGGCCCAGAAGTTCTCGGGGACGAAGCTCTCAATGGTGTCCCACCGCTCCACAATGAAGCCCAGGGTGGGGAACTGACACGGCCCATAGCTGACACCCCACGCACACACACATGCAGTGCGTCCATCCATCCATCCATCCATCCCATTCAGTCAGCCCCGCACTCCATCATCCAAACGCACCTGACGACGTGTGCGTTGAAGCCGTCGAACTTGCGCTGGATGCGCATCGTCAGGAAACGGGTGAACGACGCACCTGGTCCAGTCCACCTGTGTCTGTCTGCCTGCCTGTCTGTCTGTCTGTCTGTCTGCTCGACCAACCCGACCACTCACTCACCGATGCGCAGGTCGATCTCCTGTCGTGTGTCGACGGCATCGGCCACATTCTGGTTCGGATCGACGAGGTTGCGCATCGCACGGTGGATGTCGGTGTCTGACCACACGGGGGGACCACAGCACCGAAATAATAAATACCCACACCCCAAGTCGGTCTCGCTCACGCGTGACGGCCGAGAACTGCGCGCGCCGGATGGTCAGCCGAGGATTGGCATCGGTGCAGATCTTGACCACCTGCCCTTATCCATCCATCCATCCATCCATCCGTTGATTGCATGATAGCTGCAGGCAGGCCGCACACAAGAGCATTTCTGGACGCACCTCAAAACTGATGTTCTCCCCCTCCCTGTCGCAGTCGAGCCACAGGATGAGGTGCGAGCACCGCCTCGCCTGCACCTGCAGGTTCCTGGCGATGCCCGCGTTGTCCTTGGCCACACGCTTCTCTATCGCCGCTGCACGCACACACACACACACACACTGCGCCGCGGCCAGACGCACACGCGTCTGATGTCATATGTGATGGTGCATCTGCTACCATCGTACAGAGTGCTCGGGTCGACGCTCTGCCAGTCTCGATACTGCTCGGGGAAGTCGATCTCCATCACGTGACTGCATCAAGCATCACAACAAGGGCAAGGAGGGCAAGGACCGACGGCACATGTCGGTCGGTCCGTTGGCTGGCTGACCCTCTGACAGACGTGACGACCATCCTGCAGCTGCGGTTGTCGAGGGGAATGAACGACTGGAACTCACTCACGGGATTATACCTGCTCTGGCTGTTCAACTGCACCCAACCGACAATGCACACGCACCATGATTGCAATGAGTGGGCTTTTCACTTCACTGTCCATAGCTCACGGTGTTGATCTGTCCTGACGCTAGGTGTTTGGTGATCTCCTTGGCCACTGAGGGCTTCTCAGCCACGCTGAGGACCGTCAACGACATCACTCACGCACTCCACCCTCCTCTGACACCCGACCTCAGGGCGGCAGCAACTTCACCATCAGTTAACTCATCGCAGAAACTGGGAATCACTGAAGATGTGGACTCAGGATCTTCCTCGCCGTCAATGCACCCTCATCGTTTCTCGGCTTCGCCTCCCTGGTAAACCCAAACTTGACCCTTCCTTCCAATCAGACGCTTAGGGCGAGGAGCGGGGCGGGGCGGTGATTGAATCAATGCCGAATTGCAATGCCGTGCGTGCACGTGTGTGCCGAGAGAGGGGTACGCGCCATGCATTGCATGAGAGTGCCGTTTGCAATGCTTCCCAGAAGGCATAGACTTATGTAATTGTCCGAGCGCTCTATGTGTCCATAACCGTCCAAACAAACACAACGGCCAAGGCATTCAGACGGCCAGCCGGCCAATCATGTGGTTTGGCTCATGAACACACACTGCTTCTCACTCTCAGACTGTTGGAGCGGCCGTGCACAGGGGCGAGCCTACACCTCGTGTGGGCGCCCACCACCGGGGGCGGATGGCACAGCGGGGTTCTTGAAGTGGAGCTTGCTCTCGAGCTTCTGCAGCATCTGGCGGGCCCGCTGTCGCTCGCCACTGGCGTCTCCTTCAGCCACTCTGGGTGCCTCCTGCACTGCTCCAGTTGGGGTCGGGGGGACGGTGTCAGAGGCGCTCGAAGGCTGCTGGTTGTCTGCCGTCTCGTTGTCGCTGTTGAGACGCTGCTGCTGCTGGCATTGCAGCTGCTGCATCTGGTGTTGCAGCTGCTGGCCGATCTGCTTCTGTTTCTCCTCGAGCTCCTGTTCTTTGCGGCGCATTTGGTCCTTCTTGGCCTCTACTTCGCGCCACTCACGCTCCATTGTCTGCTGCTGTTGTCGGTGGAGGCGCTCCATTCTCTTCTCCCGCTCCGTCGCCCGCTCCTCGTGTTGTTGGCGGAGCCGTTCCTGGATCTCCGAGCGCTCCTGCAGCTCCATCTCCCAGAAGCCCTTCCAATTGTCCAGCTCCCTCGCGTAGGCCTCAACCTCCTGCCGCCTGTCGATTAGGGGTTCTTGCTGGTAATAGCGTGACTCGTACGACCCACCCTGACGAAAGAACAGACAGACACAAAATGCGGGACCCTGCTGAAGACGACCGAAGTATGTGGCTGAATGTGACGGTGAGACCCACTGGGCGCCATAGGCGTAGCGGTCGTCATCAATGTGTCGGCGATTAGTGCGGCGATTCAGTGGGAGCTCTTGTGTCTCCTCTCGCACCGCTGACACAGACAGACAGACAGACAGACAGACAAGCAGACAGGCGTGTCGACGATGTGCCGGTGAGCGATAGAGAAGGGCCATGTGTGCCTCATCCCACCACACCCCTCTTCACCTCCAGAGGCCCGGCCCCCACCCAGCAACGATCCCAAGCCCAAGAACATGCCGCCGAACAAACCACCTGATCCGCTGTTCTGGCGATTGTAGGTGTCGTTGCTGTCCGGTGGCGGCGGATGGCGGCCCACCGAACTGGTCATCGCCTCCACCTGCTGCTGGTGCTGCTGGTGGTGTCGCGAGGCACCACGTGTCCTTTGGGGCCCGAGTGGCGTCTGTGTGGTCATAATGCTGCACTGGATGCCTCGGGACACCACCGGTCTCTTCCTGACAAAGCTGCTGATGTTGGGAGCGGGATAGGCGAGACGAGAGGCATAGTGGCTCTCCGGCTGGGCGCCCACTTCGTCCCTGCTGAGGCCGTGGTTGGTCTGGTGCTGCGAGTACTGGGGAAGCCGCCCATCGCATCGGTGTGGCCGAGTGCTGGGAGGGGCACCACCGTAGGCGTCGTCCTGCCCAGTCCACGTGAGGCGGCCGCTGCCGTACTGCTGCCCCTCCCTGCTCATCTGGCTGGGACATCCTCTCGGACGCTGGGGCTCCTCCGGACGCAAATACGGGTAGGCGAATTCATAAGCGTCGTAGGCTGCGGATTGAAAGGTGCGAGGGAGCAGAGAGAGCAATAGATCTGTATGGGTGACTGCATATGAGGAGTGAACACTCACCTCATAACGGTAGCTGGCCGTGTACTGGTACGGGTGGCCCGTCATGTGACCGTCTCCATAGCCCCCTCTGACATCGTCGTCTCGTCCTGTCAGACGCCCATAGCCCACTCCGCCGCGCACCTGATGACCGACCGATACACACAAAGAGAGCGATGAATGGCGACATCCATCCATTCGTAGGTGTTTGATGACTTGGCCTACTTGAGTGTATTCGGAGAACAGGTCAGCGCCATTGCGTTGGTTGCTGCCCTGATACTGCGTGCGACGGACGGAGGCGGGGAGCCCTCCTGCAATCGTTCCGTCGAGGAACGCGGCGGCGTCCACCGTCTCGTCGGGCACGTACCTGGGCCCATAGTCTTCCATCTCCCGTGTCGCCACACGAGCGGGCAGCTCGGCCCTTCCCTGCCGGCCACCCCGTTGCAGCTGCAGCTGCTCGGCCACCTGTCGCCTCTGCTCCTCTATCGGCCATTGCAGCTGGGGCCGTGACTCTCCCTGCCGCAGGACGCTCTCCTGCCTCTGTCGCCGCTCAGGCGCCCTTTGATGCTCACGCTGGGCCATCGTCGCGGGGCTGAAACTCAGCTCAACTTGAAATCTGCAGTTTTTGTTGCAAGCTTGGTTGGGGGCACCCCCACCCCAGGGTTTGTACCCTGAAACCCGAAACCCTACATTCTTCAAACAGTGAGAATCTTTGCATCTTTCCTCCGCAAGCGAAGATGAACGCTCCTCCGAATGCAGAACAGATAGATCCTGTGATGGTCGCCGTCACAGAGATGCAGGGACTCGCCGACTTGTTCAGCAGGTGATCACCGACCTGGCAAGGAGAGGAGCAGGGCAGTGAGTGAGCGGCGTCGGTGCTTTGGTTGCTGTCTGTGGTTTGCCTGTGCAGGATGCAGAATGTGTGTTGGTCCAAGTGCATCCCCAACGTGCGGGAGGGCATACTGGCCATGGGCGAGATGAGCTGTGTCGATAGATGCGTCTCAAAGGTCTGCCAGCCCTCACAAAACACTGCACAGGGAAACAAACAGAGTGAACCTGTCTGTGCCTGTGTAATTGTGTGTCTTGCACGCAGTACTTTGACGTGCACAAGATGGTGGGCGAGAAGCTGCAGGAGCAGATGCAGAAGGCTCAGATGCAGCAGCCAGGGGCCACGCCATCATGACGTCACACGCACAGGCCGGCCAGGCGGACAGTCAGTCATCTGTTGTTGCATCCATCTGGCGTATGAGTGTTGACAGACAGGTGTGTCGACTGTCGATCAACGGTACATACTGTAGTCTGTCAACGTCTGTATGTAGAGCTGTAGAGTTGACTGACGATACACGCTCGCTTTCTCCCTCCTGCGTGTCAAGTGAAGCTCGAATGAATGCGACACTCCTTGATGTCATTGTGTGACTCATGTCTGCATCGGTAACTATCCCTGATCTCTTATGCACCCCCACACCACACGACACACACGCGGCCGCTCTGTTGGTTTACTTGTTGGCTCCGCGCGTCACTCATCCTCATCGCTGTCCTCATCTTCATCGTCGTCGTCTTCATCGATGTCCATGGGGGTCGCCTGCTGCTCCCTCTTCTTGCCCTTGCCCTTCCTCTTCTTGCCTTTCCCGCCCTTGCCCGTCCCCTCATCCATGTCGCCATCGTCGTAGAAGAAATACTCGTCGATGCCTGCAAGCCCCCACACACGCAGAGAGAGCACCAACGCGCACACAGGACCATTCATGAGCATTCATTCTCCGCCCATCCATCCCCCAGCGCGTCTTCTGGCTGCCCACCTGCATATGTCGGTTCCCCTGGCGCCTGGCCTGGTGTGTGTGCCACGTTGACGAAGTGAATGCCGCGGCGGTTGAATGCCGCCAGCAGCTGGAAATACGTGTCGATGTCGAGCATGATGGCGCGCTTGTTGGTCACTCCGACCTCCTCCAGTGTCTCCTGAATCATCTCCTGCACGCACCAGCCATGCGCACGCCATCACAGGCTCGTGCATCTCACGTCAGGCACTCACTCACCCGTATGGGTCTGGGCTGAGGTATCTGGTTGTTGAGTGAGCACCATGTCTTGTAGTTGGACTCGAGCATGCTGTGCACATATTTGGTCTTGAACGAGGCCTGCAGCGTCTTGCGCTTCCGCCTGAAGCAGATGCGGATGAGCCCGTCCCACTCGCGGAAGTCCACCTGGAGCGGCGGGTTCCGGGGCAGCAGCTTCACCACCATCGACTCTACCTGGGGAGGAGGCGTGAAGCTGCCTGCCGACACCTTGCACACGCGATACACCTTGCAAAACAATCTGACAGACAGGGTGGGGAGGGTCAGAAACAGACAAACAAACAAGCAGGCCTCCTTTCCCACGGCAGAGCACTTGTTGCTCCCGACGCTCACTGTGTGTTGATGGCCAGCCTTGAGTAGAACTCCGATCCCACTTCAGCCACGAGTCGCTCAGCGAACTCCCTCTGGCAGAGCAGCACGGCCGAGCGGAACAGCGGCCGGTGGGCGAGGAGGCGAAAGATGAAGGGCGACGAGATCTGGTACGGCAGGTTGGCCATACACACATCGAACCGCCCGAAATCCGTCCGCAAAGCATCGCCTGAACAACACACACCAGCCAGCCAACCACACACACGCGCGAGTAAAGCGAGCGAGGCACCACAAATCAGCTCCCTTTCTCTCTCACTCACAGGCGACTGACTGACTCACATGCCATGCCATGACTGACCTTCTTTGGCCTCGAGGTTGCTGTATCCGAGGCCGCTGGCTCTCTTCTTGACCTCAGCGACCATTCTGGGGTCCACCTCGATAGCCACCACCCTCTTGGCCAGCGGCAGCAGCCGCACAGTCAGGTTGCCCGTGCCTGGACCGATCTCCATGACGATGTCGGATGACTTGATGTCCCCCGCCTGGATGATCTTGTCGAGTATGCCTGGGTTCTTGAGCAAGTGCTGGCCCTTCTTCTTCTCCAGCAGCAGGCCTGCTGACGGCTGCGTCATGGGAGACGACCGGTGACGCGTCCGCTCGCGACGGAGGGCCATGACTGATGAACGAAATGGATTAATGCAACGACAAGCAGGAGCCAGGATGGAGAGCTGCGTTCGTTGAGAGGTCAGAAAAGGGTTTCAATTCAGGGTTCGGGTTTGGCCTACCCTGAACCCTGTTGCCCACTGACTGCGGCGGGTGGTGGTGGTGGTGCCTTCACTTTTCAGCCAGGATGGGGGGCTGCGCTCGCTGCTTGTGTGGATGAATTAGCGGAGGTCAGATCTGAATCAAAGCGTTTCAGGTGCAGGGTTCGGGTTTGGTAACGAGCCGACGGTCTTTTCACGCGTGCATACGTCACCGTCATCGCTTCCTGCATCATGCATCATCGAGAGAAGCCTCTCTCGGCCTCTGGTTCGGCAGCAACTTGCGGTCCTGCACAGACAAACAAAGGAAAAGGATAGAACCATGCCACAAGGCGCAAGGGCTGCCAGCCTGCTGGCGTGGCTGACTGACCTTTGCTGCCTGGCGTTTCCTCTTCTTCTTGACAAACGCGTCAACCTTCCCCTGAGGAGGGGATGGATGGACGGGAGGCAAAGAAATGGATGGAACCGACTCAGTCGCTGGTCTGTCTGTGCATCTGATCTGCATGTCTGCATCCACCCACCCACCTGTTTCTTGAGCTCCTCGTATTTCTTCTTCATGAGCAGCTGCTTCACCTTGCCTGCATCGATGGATGGATGGATGGATGGATGGATGCGGCACAGCACAGCACAACAGCCAGATGGACGGTGGAGTGATTGCTCGGCTGGACTGACCTTCACTGTAGAAGAAGGGCTTCTTGCCGGTTTCGACGATGTTTTTCTTCTCCTGCTGCTTGAGCTCCCTCTTCATGTCTATCAGCTCGCCCCTCCGCTGACGAAGAGAATCCTGCTGCCTCTGCTCATGTGTGTGACCCAAGAACACCACGACCGACCGCAGTCAGACAGAGAGTGGGTGGCGCATCGGGCTCTGCTTACCATGCTCTTGAGCACATTCTGCGCCTCTTGGACCTCCCTGTCGGACAGCTTGGGCGCCGCCTTCCTCCTCTTCTTGCCCCCCCAACTCTGCTGCTTGATGGTCTGCTGCAGCACATCCTTCTCACGCTCCCGAATGTCGTCCAGGAAGCTGTAGGAGGCGCGGAAGCGGTCCATGTTGAGCGGGCCCGACAAATCGCTGAACCGTGGGTCTCGCGCCACCTGACAGGCAGGGCAGGCGCCAAACCATGTCTGTGTGTCTGTCACTCTCAAGATGTGTCACGTCAGCGTCAGCATACCGGCCGCTTCTTTCGCAGCGGCGCTTCGCTCGTCGGAGGCGGGGCGACAGGGGTCTTCGATGACACCTCGAGAGGCCTGAAATACACACGACATGGCAACACCAGACAAACATACGAGCCGTGTCGGCGATGGATGACACGAACCAGATCTCCTCCCAGTGTGTGCGCTCACTTTTTCCTCTTCTTCGAACCTATCTTCTTGCCCGTCGGCGGGCCGTCAGACGTAGCCGCCTCTGCAGCGTGTGTCCTTGTGCGCGGCGTGTGAGCGACGAAACCATCCTTCTGAAGCCGCCTGACAGGACAGCAAAACCATCCATCGTCGACGAGCTGAAATACACATGGTCATCTCTCCACCTACCTGAGCTGCTCGAAGGGTATGGAGTGCAGCTCGGCTCTATCTTCGTCCGCAGAGGCCGGATCTGTTCGTGCCGCTTTCACCGTTTTCCTCATTGCCAATCAATTGTTGTCAAGTGTGTTTTGACTTCCTCCCGTCGGTTTCTGGGATGCGCACGTGCTCTACTGCCACGTTCCCGCGCCTTCTCTCCCTTTGTGAGCTCGCAGCTCTTAGCTTGCACAGTTGGCAAGGACACAACTATGTGACGGTTTGAGTAGTTTGCGGATTTTGGTTCGATGGCGATGGCTTTTTCCCGGCGCTTATGCGTTTTGGTCCGCGCCTGTTTGGCCGGCGTGGCGGCGGTTTGCTTGCTCTACGTGGCCTCAGCGCTCCTGTCATCTTCACTCCTCACCTTCGTGTCGGTGCTGTCGCCCTCGTGCGACGCCCAGGACGGCAGCGTTGGCCGCGAGGGCAGTCTGCGGTGGCAGGTCATCAAGGACCGGCGCGAGGGAGCTCCAGGGGCAGGCAGGCTGCTCGGCGTCATCAACCGGGCATACACCCTCATGAAGGACCTGCGAGACCTCAGCGAGGACCCATGGAAGGCACCCACGCCGCAGCAGTCCATCGACCTGGCGGTGCTCTTCGACGAGTTTGTGTCGTGTTATACGTATGAGGCGGGTGACTTGCTGCTGACCAAGGCGGGCAGCTTGATGGAGCAGTGGCGGGCGGGGCGTGGGGCGGATGACCCGTCACTGAGGAGGAGGACGTTCACTCTCTATGTCAAGGCCGCCTTCGCGCTATCTCTCAGGGTAAGCACGGCACAGCACGGTGGCGGGAACACAAACACAGAAACACCGTCCTCTTCCTGGTGCACGGAGGCGTGTGTCTGTGTGTGTGTGTGGCTCTTCTTTCAGTCGGCCTTTTGGATGAACTCGACGCTGGCGACGGAGATCCACCAGAACACGACCGACCTTCTCGCCTCTCTCTACTCACGACCGATCCCTCCCCGCCCAAAGGCCACTGTCCCCCCCTCACCCTCACCCTCCCCCTCACCCTCACCCTCACCCTCACCCGCCCGACCGTCCCCTCTTCTACAGCTCATCGACAGCTTCATAGAGGACGTCTCTGCCCGTCTGGGCCGCACCGAGCAGCGGATGGACTCGATCCTGCACGCCATTACGAGCCTGAGGGAGGAGGCCATGTCGTCATGGCCGCTGGGGCAGCTGCTGCTGGTGTCGGCCTTCCTGCTGCTGGCGCCAGTGAGCTTCCCATGGGTGCTCATGACGGTGGTCTCGTGGATAGTGTGCTCGGAGGGCTGGGGAGTGGTCCGCGACCTCATCATGATGACCGACCAGGCGGCGCACGGGGGCAGCAGCGACAGCAGCGACGTCTGGAGCAGACTCTTCGACGGGCGGGATGGAGTGGAGGTCGATGGCATGTGGTGGGTGCTCATGGCGCGGGCCGTGTCATTCTGGCTGATCATCGTCATGAACTCGCCAGTCGGGTGGATCGTCAGGAGTGTCTTGGGGCTGGGATGCGTTGTCATGGCCAAGGTCAGTGATCCGATCCACACGTTCTCACATCCACGAGAGGGGTCGAAGCGACAGACAGCAACGACTGTCTCCTTTCTTTGGTCTCATGTGCTTTTTCCTTGTGCAGCGGTCGCTTCGTTCCCTGTGGAATGACATGCGGCAGATCTTCGCTCTCCACCCTTTCCCAGACCACCTCCGGTGCACAGGCCGCAAACTCACCCGGCCCGCTTGCACCAGGCGCCGGGCTGCGGCCTCCCAGCCCACCCCCGCGCCCACACCGACCCTCCGGCCACTCAGGAGCGAGGGGCTCACGTCAGCTCAGCTGTCTGAGCTGCCCTCCAGCCTCCTGATCAAGATCGCGTCATTCCTCGACGTGGTCCCCGACCTCTTGAGCCTGACCGAGACTGCCCACTACTGGAAGAAGTTGCTCCATGCCCCAATAGAGGTTGAGGGGCTGGCGAGGCAGCGGCTGGGTGAGGCCGCCCGGGCGGAGATGAGGCGGTGTGCGCCATGGAGGCAGGGCGAGTGCCAGGGTCACTCATCGGGGGATGAACCGCGAGGGCCCAGGCTGGGTGTGGTGGAGGGTGGAGCTGGCGTGCTGACCAGCGAGCCGCAGCTTTCTGTCTTGTCGTCGCCTGACGTGCTGTCGCCTTCAACCTCCCTTGCTGCCGTTGCACACGTCGGAGGGGAGTCGTCGGCGGCACAAGCACCAGACCACCATGACCACCAGCAGCAGCAGCAGCAGCACGCCGCTGCTTCCTCCGGATCTCCTCCCCCTTTGCCTGATGACGAGTCCCCCGAAGCAACACGGCCAACCTCAAGGCGCCACTTTCCGAGATGCTGCAGGAGACGCCCCCCTACGGTGGATGCCGGTGGAGATGAGGCCGAGGAACCCGTGTCGCCCGCCACAAAGGAGACGGGCGAGGGGCTGCGTCTGCTGCACTTCATGGAGGTCCGTGAGTGCTATCGCGAGAGGATGGGTACCGCTCTCTCCGACAGCCCGCTCAGGGGCGGCGACGCGTCCCCCAAGAGATCGGCTGTTCATGCGAGGCGAGGCCGAGCCGATCCCGTCGTGCTCGTCAAGAACGTCGGCGGCGTCACACTGATCCTGCGCAGAGGGTCCCTCTATGCCTGTACTGGGGGCGGCCCCACTCGCGTGGACATCCCCCTGCGCCCATCCAACATCCTCCCCCTCACCCCTCCCTCCGCCCTGCTGCAGCCGCCCCCGCCCCCACGGCGACTGACGCTGTTCAAACCAGCCGCACGTTCAAACAGCGTGCCATTGTCCATCCCCCGCCCCATCGACCGGCCGGCGATAGCGAGTCTGTCGATGAGCATCGGCATGAACTCCGCCGAGTATGTGGCGCTGGTGACGACCGACGGGTGCGTGTGGGTGTCGAAGCAGCTGAGGGACTTCTTCTTCCTCCTGCGGCCGGACCGGCTGCTCAACCCCAGACGGGCGCTGCATTACCTCAGGCCTGACGTCCCCGTGGTCACTGACAGCCACCCTCCATCCCCTGTCGCTCCCATCCCACCCCAGACCTCCCCAGGCCCCCCGCCCACACCGACACCGCACCGGACCCCCCAGCGCTCATGGACCCTGTTTACGACCAAGGCACGAGAGGAGGAGAGTGACCCGATTGAGTCACGCCCCTCTGACCCGTTGATACCGCGCCCGGCAGCATCAGCAGCATCAGCAGCAGCAGCGGCAGCACCGGCGGCCGCGGACGAGTGGGTCGACGATGGCGATGTGGAGGTGGTGCGGATCGTGCAGGCTGAGTTCGCTTGCAACCCGTGGCACACACTGGTCCTGCGCACGGCCAGGGGCGGGGTGCTGATGGTGGCCAACCCCTTCCACACCGACGAATTGGGGATGGCCGTTATGGCCGGGTACCAGGTGGCCGTCTGCGGCCTCGAGGCCGGCGTGGCCCAGATAGCGGCTGGGAGTGTGGCACACATCGCCCGGTCGACGGATGGGCGCGCCTGCCTGTTCCCCGATGCGTCGTGGCTGCTGGTGCCCCGGGCGATGCTCAGTACTCGAGTGCAGCAGGAGGCCCTCCTGTTCCACGGCATGAGCTCATTCATCCAGGAGAGCCTCGGCCATAAACCCACGCCCATGAAGCCCGGCGCGCTGCTCAGGCCCGAGAGGGAGGTCCTCCTGCCGCCCACCACGCCCTTCGCCAGTAGTCGGGAGGCGCCGTCCTTCATTCCCGGGCCTCACTGGGCCACGCTGCCGATCGTCCAGGCGTGTGAGGTGACGGCACTCAGTGGCGTGCGGGTGGTGGACGTGAGTGCGAGGGCGCCCAGGGGCTTCTTCGCCGTAGATGATGCCGGCCACGCCTACATGTTCGGGTGGCACTTCCGGCGGACGATACCACATGCGGCTCTCACGAGCAGCGGGCAACTGTCCTGGGCGCCATGTAGCCTCAGAATGCCTAACAGGTGGGTAACACACACACAAATGGAGTGAAATGGGTATGTGTGTGTGTGTGTGTGTGTGTCCTGTGTGCAGATTGGGTCACGTGGAGGTCGAGCGCATCAGCTGCTCGCCTGCGTGGTCCCTTCCGTCCTTTGCCTTCCACCTGCTGATGCGGCAGGAGGTGACGCACCACACCGGCCACTCACACGCCGTCATCCAGACGCGCGACGGTCGGGTGCTCGTGTGGGGGCGCAACACTGAGGGCCAACTGGGGGTGGTGTCGGCACACCAGCTCGACGACGGCATAGGTGCAGAAGCCGTCAACCAGGGCCGGAACAACGCCTACGGCATGGGGTTCAAGATACCCGAGGGCGTCGACCGGTTCTCACAGAACACCGCGCTCTCCAGACAGGTGCGTGCGTGGGTGGCTGGATTGGCGAATGGGTGCACTCACTGCACATGGATCTGGCGCTCATTTTGTCTGTCGGTGTGACGTGATGTATGTATTGCAGGGCATCCGTGCGGCCCACGTGAGCGCGTCGTGCTACTCGACTTTCATCATCGACCAGCAGGGCCGGATCTGGCCGTTCGGCAAGACAAGCGCCAGCGCCGCCCCCCGGCTGTCCACACGCATGTGGCCCTTCCCCCTCCCTGCACACCAGCAGGAGGCCCCTCACCGCCACACAGCATACCGGTCGACCAACACCCAGCGCATCAGCAGCGGCATCGGGCACTTCCCCCGGCCCCTCACTCACGCAGCCTATGAGGAGCGTCCCCTGCCCTTGCACAGAGCGCTTGGGCTGGTGAGGCGGCCGTCATTGTGGAGCCACATGCCCTTCTGGGGCGTGCTGTTCCTGCTGGTCAGCTACATGACCTTCCTGGTCGCTGGCATCCTGCTGCACGGCTACCTGATCGGTATGTCGGCTGACGGCCCAACGACAGGGATATCTGAGGATTTTTTTGGTCCTGTGGGGGAGTGGGAGATGGTGGGTGTGGATAGGGGGCCGGCTGTGGGTGTGGGGGAGAGAGGGTGGGTCGACGAGCTGGTGTCGCGGGTGCTGTTTGTGCAGGAGTCGCTGCTGGCTCCGCAGTACGACATGATACCCTTCTGGGCGATCCTGGTGCAGTCGACAGTTTTGATTCCGCTGTCATTCTTCCTCTACTGCGGGGTGGGGGTCATCTACTGGCTCTACTCGTTGCTCTTCTCTCGTGTGCTGGTGCATTTCAACGTGAGCCGGCCGATGCTGTTTGGCACCCAGCCCCTCTACATGGTTGCCTGCATCAACGGCATCTCGCTCTACGGCGTGACGCCAAGGCTGTGCACGGCCTTCGGGGGGCTCATTTTCTTTGGGGTGCTTAACCTCATCCACTGGATGGCTCCCGAGGTCTTCTACTAGCTGACAGACTGTGGGTGGCCGGGTCATCCATCTCTCTCTCGTGGGCAGATGGGAGGAGAGGCTTCCTTTCTCAGCCAGGCTGAGCTGCTTAATCAGTCAGGGTATCTCTGTGTGTGCATGTGTGTGTTGCTCGTCCTTTGATTCACACATCTCTGGTTAACTCTGGGCGCGGGGTGACCAACCAGTTGATGGATGGATGGATGCTGTTTATCAACAAGACTGCCGAGTGAGTGAACGAGCTTGACTGACATGCGTGTGTGTGTGTGTGTGTGTGGCCACTTTTGCTGTGCGTGCTGAATGGCCCGCTTGGATAAATGAGCAGCACGTGCGTGTGTTTGTCGTCTAGTCGATCTCGTGTCTTCAAGGTCACAGGTCCACGCAATGCACCACCATAGCCACCCAGACAACACTCAGCGGCCCATCCGGCAGCTGGGACACTTCCCTCCCCTCTCATGAACAATCGAGCCAGGCGTTCACGGGACGGGGAGTATCCCCATGATGAGACGATTCGAAATCACGCATGGTGATGCACGCACACGATGAATACGTACGTACGCATGTATGCACGCAAGCTGCAAAGTCAACCGAAACCACGCATTCGACACACTGACCGATATCATGTCAGTCACTGCCAGTGCCGTCCCGTGGGAGGAAGACCCGCTACTCACACAGGTATGTACTCACGCACTCACTCACAGCCAGCACACACACAGAGGGGAGGCAGACAAGCAAACACAAACATCATCGTTTCAGGCTCGGCACCAAGTCAAGGAGGAGAACCTCGCGAGGCTGGTGCGGCGCAAGTCGTCCAGGAGGAAGCAGACCACTGCACTGGCCACCAAGTGGAAGCTGACACACATCCGCATCAGCAAGACACTCAAAGTCAAGAGTCAGCAAAGACAGAGAGAGACACAAACGGCAAACTGACTGACACTCTCTCATTTTGTGTCCCACTCTTGTCAGTGTGGGTGCCGGACGATGGCGGTTGGACGGCTCTGCGTGGGTTGCATCAGGCGCAGACGATGCAGGAGCGAGACCCGATGATCGACAGCCAGGAGAACGAATCAGCCAACGACAAGGCCGACAAGGACAACAAGGACAACAAGGACAACAACACCAAGACAACAGTCAGCGCCAAGACAAACCACTCTCCCTTTACTTACATGACACACATAAGTACATTCATGTGTTGTGTGTGGCTGCAGCGCAAGCAGACTGACGCCGTCGCCGCTCGCCGCCCGACTCGTGCTTGTCGCATGATTGGCCAAACCACCAACTACGCCGAGCTGGGAGAGGTCAGTGCGGCAGAGAAGCATTGAATACCTTCCTGTGTGTGTGAATACGTGTGTGTGTCTCTCAGGTTGACGAGAGTGAGCATGCGTCACTCGAGGCACACATCTCTGAGGAGGAAGAGGAGACCAAACCCAAACCAAAGAAAAGAGCCAAGGTGCACACGCATCAATGTCACTCGTGAATGTCCGTCTGCATTTGATGGTGTTTCATGTGTGTCAGGTCGCCAAGCGAGAGGCGAGCCCACAAAAGCCCCGCCGGAACCGCCGACACAACAACGACGGTACTGTGTCGGACAGTGTGGATGAATACGCACATGCGAGACGTGTGGTGTGTGTCTGTGTGTGACTCTCTTCTAGGCGATGGTGATCTCGTGTTCCTGCCCTGATCACTCTATGGTCGATCCTGTGTTGAGCATCATGCTGCCTGTCGTGTGCGTGATTGCAACAGAACAAGACAAAGAGTGAGTGTGTGCATACCACAGACAGACAGATAAATGGACAGACGACGGATGGATGGATGGATGGGCGTGAGTGAGTGAGTGAGCGAGTGAGTGATTGTTGTCGACTGACGTCAAGCACCTTCACATAAATTGGCTGACGCTTCATGTCCGCGCACATTCATTCACACATAAGCAGATATCCATGATGAAAAATGAGACTCAGAAATATAAAATGCACGCAGCGATATGCCGCCTGCTGTCTCTGTCAATCGACGGCGGTGTCCCCTCCACCACTCGCCACCACCCAACACGAACACCGGATCGATGCTGTCTCTGCCTTGCGTGTGGTGTGTCAAACCAACGACCTTCGCACCACCAGCAACCAACGCGTTCAGAATCTGCACATACCACACCACAGTCCACCTCTGGGTGCACATGGTGACCTTGATGGTGACCATGCCGAGGGTCATGATGTCGACGGTCTTGCCGTTGGGGAGTGCGGTCGAGACGTCGAAGGCCAGGTAGAGGGCGCCTGCGTTGATGAGGCCGTACAGCAGGCGCATTGCAGATTTGTCGCTCGCTGCCGGCCGCCTGCTGGTCACGCCGTCGAGTCGCACCCGTACACGTCCGTCAGCCATCACCCCTCCCTCCCTCCCTGCATGAATTTCCTCGGGTCGGCACATCATCTTGTCATTTACTAATAGGGCCACGCAGCAGGTGGCGCAACGCATCCCTCCTAAACAGGGATCTCTCCAGCGACTGACTGCGGACTTCTGCCCACCAGGGTTGTCAGGAGCGTCCATGCCCTCATCTGGAGGTCCTGGCGCGCAGACCTCACCTCCCACACACCTCGCTCCTTGCGACTCGGCCACCACCACTCATATTCCTCCGTGACATAGTTCAATCGCCACCCCTTCTTCACTCTTGTCGTGGGCGCCGCCGCGCGCACCAGGATGGCGTGGCCAGCCCTGTACGGATGCAGAGGCGGTGGGAGCGGTGCGGGTGGCGGGGGTGGTGGAGGCGGTGGGGGCGGGGGCGAATGTTGAGTTGGCAGAGCGCCGGGGGGCAGCCAATACGGTGACACAAGACGTGGGGCATTGTGTTGCGCTCGGACGGGGCCACAAATGTCCTCCAACGTCTTCTGACACAAGCATAACAATACACATAAGGCGCATCCATGTATTGAGTGTCCTTAGTACCTGGACGGATGCACTCGCAGCAGCCGGGCACCTTGTCTCCTCCCTGACATGTGCCACGCGTATGGTGGCGGCCTCTCCCCCTCCAGCCGATGAACGCTCTCTGCCGCCTGCTCTCGGCCGCCAATCGACGGCGGTGTGCCCTCCACCACTCCTGCTGCTCCTACGGCTGGCGCTGGTGCGAGTGGTGGGGGTTGCCTGCTCGTCCGGGGGACCACCGGCCTCTGAGAATCCTCTTTCTCCCCCTCTCCCTCCCCCATTTGTTGCAGCCCCTCTCCTGTAGTGTTGCCTACAGATGCAGGCAGCTGCTTACATGCATCACTGGCTTCGGGCTGTGGTGACGGGGGCGGGAAGACCAACGGCAGCTCGGCAGCAGACGGGAGCGAAGCGACGCGGCCGTCGACGGAAGCGACGGGGATGGGGCAGGCGGACTCACGCAGGGACAAAGCTGCGGCATCGGCGGACTCAGCAGGTTGTGCATGGTGATGCCGAAGTTGAAGCTGACAGTCTCCTCGCTCAGCAGCACCTTTTCCGCGTCGTGGCCCTTGCCATGCCACTGGCCCTTCAGCACGCCGCCCCTCTTCATCTCGCCCTCCATCTGCTCCGCGGCAGGCCACAACTCACCGGTCTTCACCCACTTCTCGTACGCAGCACCACCCCACCGCATCATTTTGCCCGGCATGCCTCATCTATCATCTCCTCGGCCTTCGCCTCGTGGCCAGCGTTGCGTGCGTCCCGTGAGGAGTCAATCAGCGCCTCCGCCTCTCCCGAAGAGCGGCAAAAGAGCAGATATGACTGCTCCGGTGCCCCGTGGTAGGCCGTGTACGTGGCGGGCTCCTGCTGCTCGGCCTGCTGCTGCGATGCCTTGGTCGGCACGAATGCGCCCGGATGGTGATCGGGGGCGTCTGGTGTGGGGGCGGGCAGGTCGACGGCGTTGGCAAGGTCGATGAAGCGGACGAGGGGCGGCTCCTGGTTGGTGGTTGAGTCGGGACCGGCCGATGCCGCGCTCAGCTCGGGCAGCGACGAGTCTGAATGAATGCGTGAGGACACAGCAAGTAGGTGCACTGAGTCACATTCCCATTGTCCTAGTGGACCCCTCCCTCCCGGTTGCTCACCACCGTTGATGGCGGACCGCTTGATGAAGACATTGAATAGGCAGTGGTCCCCACACAACAGGCTTGCCTCACGAATCGCCACCCGGTGGGCGCGCACGGCCAGCCGCATTATCTCGAGTGTCTCGAGCATCTTGCTGGCGATGCCGAGGGCCTTCTGGTGAGGGGGCTGTGTGGGTGGGTGGGCTCTCCCCTTCCTCGAGAGGAGGCTGGCCAGGGTGTGTAGACGCACTCGTGCGGCTCAATGGAGCCGGCCTCGCGGAAGTGCGCCGTGCCATAGGCATAGATGTCGACAAACAAGCCGGGCATACTCCGCTGCCGCTTCTCCGGCTGCAGGTGCTGCAGCCGCCCTGCCTCCAGCCTCGTCTCCCTCTCAATGGTGCGCCACCTTGGACATGTCGGCCGTCTGGACGCATATCTTGAACGCCAGGTAGTGGCCGTTGAGCACGCCGCCACGCACCGTCGCCCCGTGCCATTCCCCAGCTCGTGCGACAGCTCCACCTCGCATTTATCAAGGATCAGAGTGGCGGAGGGAAGGGTGGGCTCTGCTGGGGTCTCCGACATGCTGCTGCTCTTCCTATCTGCTCTCAGCCGCTGTTTCCGCCTGTTGTGTTTGCTCCCGCGTACAAGGAAGGAATTCCCTGTTTCAGCTCTCGCATCCAGCTCTCGCCAATCTGCCTGCTTTCCAATTACACCTCTTCTGCAGGCTCCAGCAACAGGAACACGGACCGCTGGCGCCAGCTGCTCAACCTCTCACCTGGACCTCATCTGAATGGACGAAGAACAGACGCCCATCGCAGGTGAGGAGCGTGCATCGACATACGAGCCCCACTCACTCACCTCGCTCTCCACAGAACACAGGTCATCGTCAAAGCGGCCATGACGGTCGGCCGTTGTCTGTCGAGTTGCCTGCCTGCCGGCCCTGCCCTGTCCACGGGCGCGCTGCTGCTGTGATGGGAGCACCCGCTTGTCCTCCAGATACGATTTCCTCATCCAGGGGTCACGCCGCTCCTCCCTCTCCCCGACCTGCCTCCTGTCCAATTGTATGACTTCTCTCTCCACCCCTCGGGAACTCCCCAGTTCAATACAGACGGCTGCCAGGCGCCGCTCAACCTCCCACGTGGAGGTCATCTGGAACAGACGCCCATCCCAGGTGAGGAGCGTACGCCGTACTCCTGTCTCTCTCTCTCTCTCTCTCTGTGTGTGCGTGTGTGTGTGTGTGTGACACTTACTCACCTGGCTCTCCTGCCCTTCCCACGGGCGCTGCGGCATGTCCGTGCAAGTTGAATCTGCACGCGTCCGATTGTTGAATGGCGTCTCTCCCTCCCTCCTGCGTACCGGTCTTGTGTTTTTCCACGTGGATGTCGGCGTCGATATCGATTGGCGGCGGCGGCCGGGGACAAGGGGGAGGGAGGCGACCTGTGACACTAATCGGCACTGACATGGCTGGCCGTGCAGAACCGCAGAGAGGGCAAGAGAGAAGAGGAGAGCACCAGACCACGGTGTATCTTCTCTGCCCTCTACAACTTCACACTGTGCGAGTTTAAGTACAGTGCTCACCACACTGGCGGAGTGTTTGACCTGAAACGCCACTCACGACGGAGCGATGGCGTGTGCGTGAGTACCTCAATGCCTTCCTCCAACCCTTTAAGGCGTCCGCAGAGAAACTTTGCCCGACGAAAGCAGCTGGCTACAGCTGGCGCACCGTGACACTCTTGAGGCCGGGTGGCGCGCGCCTCCATTCGGGCATCGCGGGCTCCATCAGGCTCACGTGGCCGTCGCCCAAGGTCGGATGACTGCCTCTTTCTTTATCCCTGGCGCTGAGGCCTTTGGCGGCAGGGTGGCTGCAGAGTGGAAAACGCAGAAAGAAATAGCAGGCTGAGCGAACGCAGAGAAACGAACAAGAAAAGGGAGTGAAAGACAGAGACAGAAAGTCGCGACGATTCTCGCCATTTGGGGGCCCCCTAGCTTAGCTCGCAGAAGAAGCCAAGAAAAGAGAGAGAGGAGAGGAGGAATATCAACTTCCCCCGTTGATCGCATAGGTGAGAGGAAACGCAGGCCCTTCGCGCTTTCTTGACGGCCCCATGTTAGTGACTGTCAGTGACTGTCTTTCCCACCGATGTCTGTCTTGGCATGCAGGCTGAGTGTCGGGAGGATGGCAGCAGCAGATGTGTCGCTCATCGCTGAGGAGTTGCGAGGTGTACGTCTGAGCAAGGGTGGGGATGAGGGTCATGACGACGAGATCGATCATGAGGCGGAGGAGTTGATCAAGGAGGCCCAGAGTCCGATGGGGGGGAAGCGTTCGTCGGAGGCCAGACAGTCCGTCACACTCGCAAGACGCTTCCAGATGAAGGTAGGTACTAGGCAGGTATAGAAAGCATTCATTCATTCATGGGGGCTGGGGAATCTTGCGTGTGTACGTGTGTGCGCCTCTGTCTGTGCTGGCGCATGGATGGATGGGTGCAGTTGATGCAGGAGATCACGAAGGAGAAGCCAGATTTTGAGAAGATCCGGTGTGTGAAATCTCCTCTCTCCTCCATGTTGGGCCCTCTGATCGATTACTGTCTTCTTTTCCTACCGTTCTGCAACGCAGGGCATTGCAGGCTTTTGACGTGGATTTCTCCGTCAAAGACCCAGAGAGCGAGATGGTGCGTGCGCGCTTCGGCGCGGACACGGGCGTTCCGTCATGTGTGCGTCTGTCTCTCCACTCAGACGTTGCTGCACCATGGCGCCTGGCAAGGGGAGGTCGACATCATTCAACTCGCACTCAGCGCTGGTCGGTCGGTCGGCTGGCTGATGATGGGCTGAGACGTGGCTTCATATAATTCTTGTTAGGTGTTGACGTGAATGCTGAGACCAAGTTGGGCCGCACGGCACTGCACTTTGCGTGCGTCGGCAACCATCCCCGCGCCATCAAGTGGCTGGTGGACCATGGGGCCGACATCAACAAACCGACAATCGCACTGTAAGTGAGGAGACATGACACATCGTAGACATATGGACGCGCGCAATCACTGTGGCTGCGTGCAGGTTGACTCCCCTACACCTGGCGGCGCGAAGTGGCGCAGAGGACGCGGTCACACACAGGAGGAGAGGAAGGCTGGCGGGATGATCACGTGTCTCTGGATCTCCCTCTCTGGTGTCTATGGTGCGTAGGTGAAGTGTTTGCTGTCTGACTTTCCCGACAAGCAGGTATTTGCTGACATGGAGGACAACGAGCGCCTGACGCCTTTGGACGTGGCCAAGACCAACGCCATCAAGACACACATACACAAATACCTCGACAGAAACGTACGCACACACAGATGGCACACACATGGCAACACACTGTACCGAGGTGCTGTGCGTCGTGTTGTGCAGAAGAAGAAGGCCAAGAAAACCACTGACGCCAACAAGCCGGTGTGGGAGATCTGATTGCGATCAGGGAGATATATGTGGGTGGGATGGTGGGGGGGCGGCTGGGTTGGTGCACAGCGAGTGGGTGATGAGATGCGTACATCGGGAAGAGGGAGAGAGAGAGGGGAGAGGCTGCCTGCCTGCCTGCCTGCCTGCCATCTTTTTCTCCATCCAGTGATTTGTCAGAGCGTGCAGGGCAGCACATAGGCCGATCTGTGTGTCTCTCTGTCTCTCTGTCTGTCTGTCTGTCTGTCTGTCTCATGATGTATCAATGTATCGGCTCTTACCATTCGCTGCGGTTGGTCTGCCTGTCTATCTATCCAATGGAATCCACTCCACCCCACCCCCCACCCCACACGCCAATCCTTGTATGCTATGCCCTCTGAATGCATTTCTCGCTACTGGACTTGGGACCCGAGCTTCTGAATGGATGGTCGAACGGATGCGGCCTACCGGATGTGTACACATGGCATGCATATCATTCAGTAGAGGGCAGATCAACAGACAGACAGTCAATCAGAGAAGGCCGGCTTGCCCGTCCTGTCCACACGTACATAGGTACACACACGGACTTGTGCATATCAACACGCACATACACTCGCCGCACACCCACTCGACGTCAGCAAGGAGAAGACACCACAATGGGAACGTACGCACATGAATCTCTCTTCAACCAATCAGCGCACTCTCCGCCAGCTCATGTGTCTCTTGGGTCACTCTCGGCAGGCAGCGTCTGTCTGTGTGTCTCTTCTGCCACCCCTTCCACAAGCTCTGCCTGTTGGTACGATCTCTGCAGCTGGTAAAGCGGTACACGCAACGCCATTGAAAATTCGGTGTATTGTCAGGCTGCACGACACCTGACTGACCTTCGTCTGTAGGATCTTAACGGCTGCCTGCGCCTCGCCGAGGGCCTCCTGCAGCTTCCGTATCATCGAAGCCTGCACGTGGTTGTCATGCTCCAGGCGGGCAAGGGTCTCCTCCTTCTCCGTATCGGTGCGGAACTTCTGCAGCTGCGCACGCAGTGACCGCACCTCAGCCTGCACGCAATGCCGCCGTCAGGGGCGTTGATATTTGCACTCCTTGCCCTGTCGACCCTCATGGATACCTGCAGTGCTTCATAGTGAGCCTGGCCGCCCTTGGCCGTCAGAAACGCCCCTGAGCTGCCAAACTCGCGCAGCCACTTGCCCCTCTGAGCTTCCACATTCCTCTGCTGCTGCTTGGCGTGCAGCCTCAGCTCTTCAACCTCCTCCTCAAGTCGTTCCCGTGTCCGGATCTCCTGCTGGAGTGCCCTCAGGTAGTGCCGACCCGATTGAGACTCGTCGTCACGCGCACTGCTCACCGCATCCAAACGGTCCTGCAGGAAACGCACGCGACGCGTCTGCATCGCATCGCATCGCATCGCATCGCACACAGAAACGACGTGACTCAGATGGCAGAGAAGAATATGGAAAGTGGGATGGTTCGACCAGTGACCCGACCAGTGTCTTCTTGGCGTGCAGGAGGTTCGTCAATTCTTGTCTCAGGTCCCTCAGCTGCTCATTCATGAAGTCCCCCAGCTGCTCCGGCGATGGCAGCAGACATATGCTGCCGTCATTGTCGGTTGAGCGGGTGACCATGTCGCGGTGGTTGCTGTACCCGAAGGGTACCATGTGTGTGGACGTCATTGTGCTGTAGCCACGAGTGTGATGATGTCCCTGAATGGACCGGAAGGGAAAGAAAGAAAACAGAAGTGAGTGTCGGGCATGAATGCGACGACAAGTAGTCACTTCTGTCTACCGCTGGCATTCTTTCTGTCGCGTAGAGACGGCGGCTGTTTGGCGTCCTGTGCTGGTGAATCGAAGGGAATTGGGGGTGGGTGGCTGGCGCACATATGGCGACTGGGGGAGAGGAGGAACCTTCAGAGCTTGCCAAATCCTCCTCTGCCATCGTAGCCTGCAGTGCAAGGCATGGATAAGTGCATGTCGTACACAAGAATGTCTTTCCCCACCTGCGCCGCCCTCTCGATGGCCAGGCGGTGTTTCCTTTCATCCTGCCTGCGCCTCCTCTCGCGGATGTTTGGCAATAGGGGGGTGGTAAGCTGCGGCCGCACCGCTGGCGGCTTGAAAGGTTGCCCTGTCATCCTCGCATATTGTGTGTATGGCACGTGCTTCCTCAAGTCAATTGCCTCCAGTTGGGGGTGGGTGGGGGCCCGCAGACTCAGACGAGCTCGCAAGACTGGCGTGACGTCAGAAAGTGTAGGAGCCACGCAATTTGACGGAGATGGAGCTCAGACTGTCTACGCATCGGCAGCTGCCCCACACCTTTCGTGTTTGTCCTGTTCTCCGCTTCAATCGCCCTGTGGCTGATCATCTGTTGGCATCTGGGGTGCTATACTTGCGGATAGACTCTGTCCCTCGGTGCCTGTTCCCCCGCTTCTTGCCCGAGGTACCTGTTCCGTCTTCCTCAGCCGTCAACCATGGGTCTCTTCGTTTCCGAAGTACCATCCCCCACCTCTCATATGTTTTGATATCTTCTGCCTGCCGGCGTATGTGTGTGTGTGTGTGTATGTGTCCATTCAGCTGTTGTCCTTGGTGAGCAGCCAGAAGCCCTGCCGTGCCGTCATGGTAGGCCTCGATGCCGCTGGGAAGACGACGCTGCTGTATAAAATCCGCCTCGGCGAAGTGGTCACTACTGTGCCCACGATCGGGTTCAATGTCGAGACGGTGGAATATCGCAACCTCAACTTCACTGTGTGGGATATCGGCGGACAGCACAAGATACGACAGGTGCCTACGGGAAGGGAAGACAGGAGGGCGGAAGGGGCGGAGACACCTAGCAGCCCGAGTTGGCGCCCGTCCGTGTGTGTGTGCTCATTTTTCAGCTGTGGCGTTATTACTACCCCAACATCGATCTGATCATCTGGGTGGTCGACAGCTCTGACGGTACGAAGCAATCCCCACACAGAAATCCCCCACACACACATTCCAGCCGACTTTGAGGCAAGCATCATTCTCTTTGTTGTCGTTCCTTATGCAGCGGAGCGTCTGGACGAGTCAGCCGAGGAGCTCCACAGCACCCTCAGGGAGCCGGTGAGCCAGCCGCTGATCCCACAGCTGGCACGTCTTGTTCGTTGCCACCTTGTCTGGCCTGGCTTGTTGTGCAGGAGTTGGCCGACGCGGCTCTGCTGGTGTACGCCAACAAGCAGGACTTGCCTGGCGCCCTGTCTGCCGCCCAGCTGGCCGACCGCCTGGCACTCAACACCATCACCAGACGCCCCTGGTTCATCCAGGTACACATACCGCGCACACGCACCACATGCGGAGAGGCAGAGCAAACACGGCGAGACACGTGCGCATGTCACTGATGGCTCGGCTGCTGTGTGTGGATGAATGCCATGCAGGCTGCGTGTGCCCGCACCGGTGATGGGCTGTTTGAGGGCCTCGATTGGGGCGCCGAGCAGATGATTCGCAAGAGGAAGTGACCAAAAGGAAGGCGGCCCGTGAATAATATATGTGCTTGATCCATATGTGTGCTGGTGTCTGTCTTGTTTGAGGTGGTCTCTTGCTGTGGTGCTCTGCGATGCGTGTAGATAGGTACATGCCTTGTTGATATGTGGATATCCGTGGAGGGAGGAGTCGTACGTGCGCATTTCTGTTACCTATCGTTTTTTTTATGAGTCTGTCCGTCTGTCTGTCTGTCTGTCTGTCTGTACGTGTCTGCGTGTGTAGCTTCCCTGTGCTGCGTGCTACCCATGCCAGCCGCAACTTCATGCACGTGTTGGTGTTGGTGTCTCTGCATTCCTTACATAGAGGCGTGCGTGACAGCGTGGGGATGCTGATATGTGTGAAGCCATTCTTTCACTCACGGCACGTACGCACGAGCAGAGGAAGTCGGCAGTGCACCCATATGCAGTCCTGCCGACCGAAAAAATCCGTCCACCGTGCAGGAGACCGGTGTAGTAACCATAAACACTGGCGGGTGATGACATCACGGGCACAGCACACAACACACGGCACGAAAATTGAGTGGCGCGGTCGGAAAACCAGATGGCTGCACGGCTGCAGGCAGACAGATGACAACGGAAAAAACCCTCCTAGTCAGTACTACCATCCATCCGTCCATCCATCCATCCATCCATCCATCCACACGCCCTAGGAGGCGGGTGGCCAACAGACTGGCCCCTGCTCCGCACTCCCCACTCCCCACTCTCTGTCTCTAATTAGCGTTATGTGGGCAGATGATGGCCTGACCTGACTCACCTTCGCTGATCTCTCTCAAGACTGACTGACTGACTGACTCACTGACTTACTGACTCTGCGGCGCAAATCATCCCTCCCTCACCAGAGGCCGAAAGGCCCCGTCTTCTTCTTCTCCTCTTTCTTGCCTTGGGCAGCCCCGCTCTCCCCCCCGCCTTCCTTGACGTTTTGTGGGTAGTAGCGCCACTTGCCCTTGACGAGCACCCAACCGTCGTCCTCCCCACCCGGCTGCGACTTGAAGGACGTGCCGATCTGGTAGTTGACAGATCCTGCAGCCGTAACAACACACACACACACACACACAGCCAGACGGTCAGACCAACGATGAGTGGGCCGACCGTTTCTTGCAGGCCACACGCGGGCCGACTCACCTCCTTCCGATTTGCCCGGCATGCCCTCGGCGGCTTCCTTGGGCTTGTACTTGCTCTTCAGGGGATCGCCTTCGCGACGCTTACGAAGGATCTCCTGTGAGCAAGGGAGTCACCAGCGGTTGATTGCAGCACCGTGTGGTGGGTTGGCTTGGTATGTGTGTGATCACCTGCTGCATCTCAAATCGCTTCTGCTTCTGCTCCTCGTTCTCCTTGCTGCCAAAGCCAAACTGCATCTCAAGCGAGGTGCCCCGATGCCGAATAATGGGCCTGTTAACAATGCGCATATATAAGATCTCAACCGATGAATGGCAGAAGAGGTGAGTGAGGGCCTCCTCCATTGGTTGCTTGCCTGGATGACGTCTTCAGCGCCGTGACTCTCGCAAAGGGGCTCACGAATGAGGAGCTGTCCATGGCGTGGCCCGCAGAGGCAACGACAATCGCGCAGCACAGCGCGGCAGTGGTTGTTGTAGGTCCAGCCATCTCGTTCCTTTCTTCTCTTCTGCAAGCTCGCACGAGCCTCTTGAGCTCGCACGGATTTTCGACAGCGACAGGCCCGCTCCCGACTCCTCCGACGACGTCTATGCCACAGGGAGGGCGTTGCTTAGATCCACATCTTCCGGACTCTGCCGCACCCGTCGAGGGGAAGGCGGCAGCCTCACGGCGAGTGGCGCTTCCCGCACTCGGAGCACATCGCCACCCCCGCCATGAGGAGCTCACTGAGCGCTGAGAGGGTCCCTGATGAGGCCCGGGCGGATCAGGCGGATGAGGTGGTGGGGGAGCTGGTGCGGTCGTCCCTCAAAGGGCGCACGAAGCTGTTGCGGCACCTCCGGTCCATGACGAGTGGCTCCCCTGCTGCTGGGCATCGCGCCAGGGGATGTCGGCATTTTAACAAGGCCGTCTTGGAGGCGCTCATGCCTGCCAGGGGGGAGCTGCTCGAGTCGCTGGGGGACGCTGACTGGTGGAGCCAGCTGGACGCAAGACATCTCGACCTGGTGGGTGCACAGACACATGTCTCACGCGCTCACATGAGCGGACATGTGCAAATGCATGTGTGTCTCACTGCCGGCATGGCCTCGACGGACGTGTTGCGTTGCCTCTCTCCTCTGCCTGTCCTGTCCTGTCTGTGTTGTGTGCCTTGCCTGTCCTGTCCTGTCCTGTCCTGTCCAGGCGTATTCGTATCATGCGACGATCATGTCGCTGTTGTCGAGTCTGTGTGTGGGAGCCAAGGGCTGCCTAGAGGACGTGCAGAGGCTCCTCACGGGCCCAGGGCTGGCCAAACTCGTGACCGTACATGCGCACCTCGAGCAAGAGAGGCGTAAACAGGTCAGTTAGTGGCAATGGGACGGAGCGGCATCTGACGTATGAGCCATGCATTCATTCATACGGCTCGTGTTGATGGATTGCTTTGCTTGATGGTTCAATCAGATTCCGCGAAAGCTGAAGCTGGCGTGCCTGGTTCTTTTGCTCAAGGTGTATCTGCGGCCACAGAGCGGGTGCTGCGGCCGGTGTGTCGGCCAGTGCCTCTGTGGGCCGTCATGCGCATGTGCCATGGAGTCGCCCGTCGATTCCACATGCTCCAAACTGGTGAGCCGAGAGGCAGGGAATGAGTGGGCCAGGGACACACACACTCACACACAACTGATCCCCATTACGTGCTGTTGACGTGTGTGTCATATGTGTGTCAGATGTTGTGGCCGGACTCGCCCCTGTCCCAGCGGACGGTGCACGCGTCGTCCCCCGACTCGGTGGGGCCGTCGCTCAACCCCAAGGCGTCGCCATCGCTGACGGCTTGCCCTTCCCCGTCGTCCTTCTCCACGTCTGCCTCCACCCCATCCTCACTCGCCACATCCTTCCCGTCCGCTTCGTTTTCCCCACCAGCCCCCACATGCCCCGCCGTTTCTCCGCTCTCGCGAGCCGCCCTGTCTAGCATTACCAATGGCAGTGACGAGGAGCCATTGTCGCCGCCGGGCGGCCGGCTGTGTGAGGGGCCTGTGGGTGCCGCGCTGGAGGTGCTGGTGGCGTCGGTCACTGCTGAAGTTTTGGATATCGCTCAGGGCATCAGTGGTGTGGGGATGGGAGTGGGGGTGAGTATGGTGGAGGAGAAGGACAGGGCGCTGCAGGAACGCTACCTCGTGGAAGGTGCGATTCCTTTTTTCCTCAACATCCCGATTGCATGCCACTCGCAAACACAACTCAGGCAGAACATCGAGGCCCTCGAGGTGAGTGAGTGAGTGACCGGCGAGTCAGACCACACACTTGGTTGGGTGCGGTGCATCGATCACGTGTGCAATGTGTATGTATGTGCATTTCAGGACACTCTGCGGAGTGGGTTGCTGTCGCCCGAGGGTCGCCGTGCCGTGGCGGATGGGCAGAAGCAGCTGCGCAAGACACTCAAGGTTTTAACGGAGCCCATCCCGGCCTCGCCCCCATCCATGTGCCGGATGGTCGCCACCCCGTCGCCACTGTCGTGCGCCGAGTCGTGCTCCACGTCCAGCGACGACTCGCCGCCATTCCCACCCCGCACCATCTTCGCCGCACTCTCGCGCGGCTGCCTCGCACAGCCGGCGTCCTACCCTGTGGCCAAGGCGGAGATGCCCCCACAGGGCCTGGCGGCGTGCGGCTCCTTCGCCCTCCCTCCCCTCGCCCTCGGGCTGGACGAGGCGTCGACCAGCGCAACCTTTCCTATGTGTCATTCGTTGCCGGAGAAGCCGCCCACCAGTCTGCTCAGCCTCAAGCTCTCGCAGCGCCGGCTGGGGCAGGAGCAGGGCGGCCAGGAGGGTGAGGTGAGGGGCATGGCCCAGTTCCTGGAGGCGTGGATGAGGCCACAGCAGAACACCGCCGACGGCAACAGTCTACCGGAGAGGCAGGAGAGGGAGAAAGGGGAGCGGGAGGCCGCTCCTCAGACAGACAACGTGAGGAGTGACGGCACCACCCCAGCTGTCCCGCTGGAGCCCCTCGGCGTGTCGCCCGACGGACCAGAGGATGACGGCGAGGCGGCAGAGGGGGCCCGGGTCCTTTGGCGGTCGATGAGCGACAGTCCTCATCTCTACGGCAGCGGCCTGTCATGCCTTCCCGACGATGACGGCCTCTGTGACAATGAGGGCGACGAGTCGCCCCACACGCCATCGAGCGACCCCCTGAGCTCCGGCAATGATGACGACATCGACCCCTGGTGGACGCCAGAGGAGGATGAGGCATTCGACGACCACCACACTGACACACAACCGCAGCAGCAGCAGCACGCGCCCACCATGCCCGTGCAGCGGTCGCGGTCGCTGCCGTCTGTCAACCAGTCGTTCCCCCCTCCCGGCGCCCGGACCACCAGCACCACTTTCCACCCTCTCATGCAGCCCCACACCCACCGTCGCTCCTCGCTGCCGGACCTCCAGTCGGCGGCTGAAGCTCGCCATGCCGCTGTCCTCTACTCCACCTACCACTACACCAACACGCGGCCGTCGGTGCTGCCGCGCAGCTATGGTGGCGGGAGGCGGGCCAAGGGCGGTACACGAGGGGCGCGGTGCCGCTCACAGGCACTGACGGTGCTGCCGAGCATCCCCGAGTGTGACGAGCCGATAGAGCGCCGCGACACTGAGCGGGAGAGTGGCGCGTGTGGCGAGGATGGGCAGGCGGCCGGGGCTAATAGCGCGCCCCGGCTGCGGATGTCCCTCCGGAGCTGGTTTTCTTCGTTTGGGGAGGTGTCGTCGTCTCGCAGGAGCCAACTGCCCGTGGGCCGAGGGGGCGCATGAGGCAGATGGATCGGTGGACGGATGGAGGGGGCCGGGCCAGATGGGATGGTAGCATTGCATTCACTTTGTGGTGCGTTAGGACTGACTGAGTGGTGTGTGTGAGAGGGCGGAGGGAGGGAGGGAGGGAGGGGAGGAGGGTCTGCACCTGTGTCGTCTCGTCTGAGTGTCTGTCTGGTTGAATGATTGATTGTAGTGATGTTATCCGGGAATTTTCCATGCCGTTTCCCTGACTGCCTGACTGACTGCCTGCCTGCCTATGTCCTGTTTTCCCTCCACTCCTCCGCTCCACTGGCTGATGTCTGTCCGTCTGTCTGCCTGGCTGCCTGGCTGGCTGTTATAATGCTCTTTGTGGCCTGTTGGATGATGAGAGCATGCCCATCCATCTATCCATCTATCCATCCATTCATCCAGCCATCTACACGATGCCTGCCGCCCGTAGAAGAGGGACGGACGGACGGATGCAGATCGGATTCGACCGATGCAGGAGAGTCGATTCGACTCGTTCACTCACTGGGACTGACTGCCTGACTGACTGAATGGGGGAGGGGTGGCTGCCTGCATGACTGAATGAATACGTCTTGTTTGCGGAGAGAGGGATGTGTGGTCGCGGTTATCTTCCGTCGGGCAGCCATCTCATCTCATCTCATCTCCCCTCATCTCACCTCAGCTATTCTGCCTGTCTGCCTGCTGGTGACGGTGATGGTCATGGTATGGCCGTTTCAATGCTGCTGGCCGTCTCACTAGAGACACAGGAAAGAGGAAACAGGGACACAGACATGCATACATACATACACATACACCTGCATACGTGCGACCGTCCTTGGTCAGTGCCGCCGATGTGTCTGCCGTTGCGCTGAGCCTGGATGTGTCATGTCGTGTCGTCGTGCGCGTGGCCGTGAGCGTGTGCGTAGTGGGTTGGTCGATCGTTGAGTGAGTGACGTACGTGTGGTGAGCTGTAACATAGCTACCGGGAGGAAGAAAGAGAGAAAGCAAAGATGGCAGGCAGGCTGGCTGGCTGGCTCGCCTCTGTCTGTGGCCTCTCGTGTGTGTGTCTGGCTGCCTAGTGTCGACCCGATTGACGGATGGACGGATGGATGAATCAGCAAGGAACGAACGGGAAGGAAAGAGAACTCTCTGCCTGACTCTGTGTGTGTGTGTGTGTGTGTGTGTGTGTAAGTGTGTGTTTATATCGCTCTATCGTATCGCTGTGGAGACCTTCATAAGCTCTGTCCCTCTCTGCACCACCTGTCCACTTGTATATCCGCCCTCTGTCTCGATCTCTCTGTCTGTCGCCTGGGTGTCCCTCTCGAATGAGCTTTTTGGCGTCATATTTGGCTCGACTGACGGACTGACTGACTGACTGACTCGGACGAACGAACGAAACTTGTTTCTGCTTACTGTCTTCCTCTCAGGCTGCTTGTAAGTGTGTGTGTGTGTGTGCGTGAGTGCCTGCTAATGCTCACTGACTCTTCGCTGTGCCCTCCGATCTGTCCTGTACCTGCCTGCACCCACACGCATCCACACACATCCACACACACACTCACACAGACACTCACAGAGACACACAGACGCCGACGTCTTTTCTTCATTTGTTGATGCATCCTTCCCTTCCTGCCTGCCTGCCTGCCTGATTGGCTGACTGGGTGGATGGATGGATGGATGGATTGGATACTTACACACATACAGGGGGTGGGTGGGCGAAGCACAGTGACTGACCGACCAGCCGTAAGTACTGCCTTGCTGTGCTGCGGTGGTGCGCTGCTCCTCCGCTACTGGAGTGGGCGAACCCGACGCACCACCACAGCACAGACACCATGTCGATGGCAGGCCGACGCGCCATATCACTCTCTCACTCACTCACTCACCCAGACTGGCTGTCTTTGATTGTTGTCGAGGGTTCAACTAATGTCCGACACCATTGCTTTGCATTTCATTGCATTACACTACATTTCATTGCATGGCACGGCATGACATGGGGCGCACCGTTATTATTTTTGTCCGTTGCCTACCTAGATGCCTGACTGCCTGACTGCCTGCCTATAGGCGTGTGCGCCTCCCTCCTTGGCTGTGTGCCGCCTCCCACAGATTGGGATGGGCCGGCGCGCAGACAGGGGAGGGTGCCGGCTGACGTGAGCACACAGTGTGGATGGATGGATTGGGCGGACTTGCGTATACGAATCAGACATGCACACGAGCACCAGAGACGAGAGGGAGAGCGAGAGTGAGCACCACGCGGCCCGCTCCTTTACCATTTTTCCTTTACTCAGTGTTTTGCCGTGGATGTGACAGAGGATGGCATGCAGGAGGCATGAAGAGGATGATCGATGAGTGCGTGCTTAGATAGGTATGCGCCCGGCTGCTGCAGTTTTGCCACCCATGAGCCATCCATCATGGCACACCTCTTTCGCTCGCTTGATGACGGCACGATGCAAGCCTGCCTGTTTTCCCGAGTCGTCATCCACCCATTCACCACTTAACTCACTGCCTTTCCTGGTTGTCGCGTACTCACTTTTCCTTCCTCGCCGTCGCATTTTGTCAAGTGTGTCTGTCTCGTCTCGTCTCATGCCGTGTGTGTCGATATGTCTGTAATGAGTGTATCCGTGTTGGCATCTCTTGCTGTCGTGTTGATGAATGGGTGTCTGTTGCCTGTTGTCGCTTGTTGTTGCTTTCTTGCTTGTGCATCTGTTTGTCCGAAGTGAGTGACTCCCTCCCTCCCATACTGCCATACGTACCAACGTACGTATTCTTCTACGCGCGGTTGAGCCAGTCAGTCAGTCTGCCAGGCAGGCAGAGGCAGGTGGTGCTAATTCGATTCGTTCGTTCCACTGAGACAAACAAAGAGAGCCCTCTGTGCTGTGCTGTGCTGTCGTGCCCGCGCTCTTTTCCCCCATCTCTCCTCTCCCCGCCCTGTCGATTCTTCCCCTTTGAGCCAAGCTCACTCCTTCGATGGCCGCCTCTCCCTCCCTCCCTCCCTCTGCTGTGAATGATGCGTTGCATACCTACCGTGCTAATTAATCGGTCCATCCGGCCATCTACCCACCCATGATATCAATGACAGAAGAATGATGAGTACTCACTCTCTCGAATACGGTGTTGCCTGGGAGGAGGAACGGCAGGGGAGGGGAGGGGCAGGGAGGGCGTGGGGGCACATGGCGCGTGACTGATGCACATGCACGGCAAGAGGCCTGCCTGCCTGTCTGCCTATCCGGTGCAGTCGAGTGAGGTGAGTCTTCCTTCGGACTTTTTGGTCGTTATTACTTGATTGTTGTCGGTTGTCGGTTGTATGCTGTTGTATGTTTGTGTGCGCGGCTGGCGGGGTGGGTGGCTCGGTGTCCCGTCCTCTAGTCTGCTTGGCTTGCCTAGTTTTCCCTTCCCTCCCCACCCTCCCGAACACGCCACGCCATTTCATGCCACTGCATGGCCTGCCTGCCTGTCTCGGTGTGTGTGTATGTGTGTCTGTATGTGTGTGGGTGTCCCTTGATGCGGCTGGGAATACGTACGTGGGTACATGCGCACATTACATGGATGCCATCCATGCCATGCATATGCATACATATGCATGACTGCGCCGCCTGTCATACACAGGTGCGTGGACCGTCCGGGGGTCCATCGTTTTAGGCTTTATCTCTGTCTGCCTGACCGCTCTCATGTCTGTCTGTCTGTGTATGTGTGTGTGTCTTTTTGCCTTTGGTCTGCCGGACACGTACGTACTTGCTTGCACACACATGGATGGATGCGGCTGGGCCGACCAACGGGATGTTTTCGGTGCCGACTCCACCGCGATCGATGAACAACAGAGCGTTGGCCGATTCCACCCGGCCCTTTTGTTGACATCCCTGGGTGGTGCTCACTACTGGCTGTCTGGCTGGCTGCTATGCTATGCTATGCTGTGCCTGCTCACTGAGGACTCACTCGGCGGCGGCATACATACATTCGTCACGTCATGTCCTGTCTACCTACTCGATTCTATACCATACATGGATCAGCTGACATGGCCCGACAAGTTATTTCTTGCTGGGAGGCCTCTGTACGGTCTCTGTTACGCTAGTAGAGAGAGAAAGAGAGAGAGAGAGAGAGAAAGAGAGAAAGAGAGAGAGCACAGCGTCGCTGACTGACCGACTGACTGATCGTGTGTGTGAGTGTGGCTTGGTCGCCCGCCCACTAAGTCTGCTACCCTCCCTGGCTTGCTGGCTGCTTGGTGCTGACAGGTTGAATCCATGTGTGTGTGTGTACCATACATACATACATGCCTAGCGTACGTGACGCGTGAATAAATGCATGAAGCGCCGGCAGAAGCCCCGGTGCCGGGTGGGTGGCCCTGTGTGCCCTCCTTGCTTGATGACTGCCTGGCTGGAAGGGGCTGCCTCGCTGGAAGGTTGGACTGACTGACTGACTGTCTGACTGCTTTGTCCGTTCGTCTCATGACCGCCCCTTTTCTCCCGCCTGGCCTGGCTTGGCTTGGTCCGGCCGGCTGTGCTCTCTGTCGTCCAATTTTCTTGTCGAGGCAAGCGCGGCTGCACGTTGACACAGCCAGATACACACACACCCAGGCAGGCACACACGTACAAGCAGTTTTGGTGCTGACTTGACGAACGAGCTGAGATGGTGGGGAGTGCGCGCGTGTGTGGATGATGAGTGCGTGGTGTGCTCAGCAGAGAGACGGCTGTGTTGTGTGTGCGTTCGTTCGTGTGAGTGTGTTCGTGCGTGCGTCTGGGGCAATTTTGGCTGGCAGACCGACCGACCGACCGATTCACGACAAACTGACTGATTGCACAGTGCACCAACCGATCAGAGACTGACTGACTTACTCACTGGTGCGCACACTCCCATTCATCGCCTCACGCGCCTCTTTCTTTTTAACCTTGATGACGAACTAACTGGCTTATGTATGACTCACTCACTCTTATTTGTGGCGGCAACGCAGAGAGAGAGACAGACAGCAAGACAGACAGCGTTATGGACTGAGGAAAGGAACGAATGGATGCGTGTAGCGCTTTTTTCAAACAGCGGCGAGCCGACCCGAGCCGCCGCCATGTCACCTCACCTCACCCAGTCACTGACTGACCCGCTCACCGATGTGCGTACGTGTTGGTGTAAACCGGTAGGCAGGCCGCGCACTTGAGAAGACCTGAGAGCCCGCAGAGAGAGGGAGGGAGGGAGGGAGGGACAAGAGAAAGATAGATTTAACCGACACGAGAGAGGGAGTCACGGAGGGCACTGAGTGTGACTGACTACTGAGTGAGTGAGTGGTAAGTACGTAAGTATCTAAGTAAGTAAGAGTACTATGTTGTGTGTAAAGATAGCCTTTGTATATCCCTGGCTGCCTGCCTGCCTGCCTGCAGCCCAGTCAGTGTGTCCGAGTGAGTCTGCAACACCGCACCACACTGCACCGCACCGCAATTCACCACATGCATGGGGCACTGGGCTGGTTGGGATCCCATACATTCACCATGCCATGCATCCTGTGGTGGTGGCTGCGCTTTGTCTCCTGTTCGTCGTATGAGCGGTGCGCTAGGCCACTCACTACGAGTGCTGGTCTGACGCCCTGGCAGTCCGCTCAGGTGACGAAGAGAGATGAGATGAGCCGCTCGTCGTCCATCAAGTACACCTGGTGGGCAGCTGACTGGCTAGTGTGTTGCTGTGTGCATTTGGGCCGATCGGTGTTTCTTGACATGTGTGGCCCCCTCGATGGACGGCTGAGCTTTCAAGCCAGGCCACACAACGCGCCACAGAGAGAGAGAGAGGGCGGAAGTTGGGTGAATGAGGTCCCAGCCGTCCTGGACCACAGGGTGCATCCTGTCTCGTGTGTGCACACCATGCCTAACAGGTGTCTGCGTGTCGACGCTTTTTTTTTCTCGCTCTCACTGCCATGTCTCTTGCCCCTCTGCGGCCGCCCACTCTGTGTGCGGCCTGCAGTTTTGTCGCCGCCGGCGTGCCCCACCGTCTGACTGACTGACTGATTGGCACCTGCTCGCTCTTCCACAGCTAGCTACCTGGACGCACTTATTTTTCGGCTGTGGAGGGGCGGGAGCGGCGTTACACACACACGGCACACGATGCGAAGCAGACAACGTTGCGAATGGTCGACTGAGTGCGTGAAAGCGAAGGCATGGCATGAATAAGTGGTGCAGTGTGTGGTTGCGGTGTGTTCTGCGGGGGGGAGCACTGGCAGTTTTGAAGGCAGGCACCGTCTGTATGTGTGTGAGGTGTGGATGGATGTGTGTGGTCGCCTGGCTGCCCTGCGTGTGGTGTTGTGTCTTGTGTGTGGTGTGTGGTGTGAGGTGCTGCATCAATTTTCCGGCTGGCTACTTACTTGTCTGACTGACTCCGTGGTTGTGAGACTCTGTGGCTCTCACACACGATGTTGTCGGTTCTCTAGCGGCCACCCCGTTCCCCTGACTGACAAGACGTGGAGTCTTCCTCCCTCATTGTGTGCATGGTGAGTGAATCATGGGCCACGCCCCCGAGTGCGTGGTGGTGGGTGCATACTCAAGTATTTGTACCACTGTCTGGGAGGGACGGAGGGAGGGAGAGAGGGAGGGGGGCGTGTGTGCCTTGGCCGGTCGTGTAATGGTGGTCTTCGTGTGTGTCTTAACGCTGGCTGGCTTTCAAAGGGCCGCTGGAAGGAAGAAGAAGAACTGATGTCGATGCGCGTCTTTGTGTGTCGGAATGAGAGGTTGTCGGTCGCTGAGTGTGTCCTCCCGTAAATGCCCGTGCTCTGGTGCTGCTCTGCTCTCCTCTGCGCTCTCCCGCTCAGTCGACTCTTATCATCTCGCTCTCAAGCATCATCCATCTCTTCCTGCGTGTCGTGTGGTGCCTTGTCGTGTCGTGTCTTGTCGTGTCGTGTGCTGTCTTGTATGCATGTGTGTGTGTGTTTGGCTCAGTCAGGTTTTGTGCTACGTAGCTGGGAGGGAGCAGCGAGCATGTCGGCAGTTTTGGAGGGCTGGCTGTCTCTATATCTCTTCTGCGAGGGATACTGCTTTCAACGACGCGTGCACGAATCGGTCTGGATGCGCCCTCGACGTTGCTGGTCGCGGCTGCTGGTGCGCGCGTGTCTGTCTGCTGCTTGAGGATGCATCTCGTCTTGATATAGAGCAGGTGCTGCCTCCTGCAGAGGATGGGCATGCATGTTCCACAGAGCAGTGGCAGCAATGAGTGGCGATGTAGGTGCACATACGAATGAAGGAAGGTCTAATGCTGCGTGACGGAAGGGGGCTGGTCGGTGTGGTGGGCTGTGAGGCTGTGAAGGTTTTGAAGGAATGGCGGGGAGCAGCTCAGCTAACTTATCGCACGGGGACACTTGACTAATCTGGACTGACGGTCTGATCTGGGGGAGCTCTCTGTCTGGCGGATGGATGGGGAGGGGCAGAGATTACCACTTCTTCGACTTCAAGTCTTTACCACACACTCTTCCACTTTCATTCACGTCGGGTGTTTCTCTGTCTGTCTCTCGTCTGTCTGTGTCTGATGGGGTGGGAGTGAGTGCATTCGTTCGTACACACATGCATGTACACATATACACATACATATACATGTCATGTATTTATCTATAGCGTGCCGTGCCGTGCCGTGGGTGATCCTTGCTTACATACGATCCATCCATCCATCCACCTCAAACTTCATCTGCCTTACCTGGCCTGGCCTTCGCCTTGATTTGTCTCCCTCCCGCTTCTACACTCCACTTGACTCGCTTCGCTTCGCTGTACCCACCCTCTATCTATCTCACTGCCCTCCATTTTTCTCCTGTCTGTCTGTCGCGCGCGGCCGCGTCATGACACATGTGCGCACGCCCATCCATGGCATGGATGTCCAGGTTGCTGGATCAGCTCATACCGCATAGATGAAGCACAGGTGTGTGCGTCATGTGTGTCGTGTGCGGGCGGCGTCTGCTGTTTGGTCTCTCCCTCCGTCCCATCCTCCCTCTCCCCTCCCTCGTCTCTCTACTGTCTGTTCTCTTCTGTTCTGGCCTGGCCTGGCCTGGTGTGGTCTGGTGTGGTGGTTGGTGGGTGGGTGGCTCGCTGGATTGACGCGTGGCGCGTCGGCGGTTTTGGTCTCTATCTGTGGTGGCAATAAAGGAAGGAGGAGGGAGGATCTGGAATGGTGGCATTTGTCTGTCTGTCTCTGGGGAGGGAGGGGAGGGTGGAGGTAGGGCTCTGAGGTGGAGCTGAGGGAAGGGGAGGGGGGAGGGGTCACATATGTATCTTTTCCGTCTCTCTATTCCTTGCGTAAAGCATGAGCTTGCTCACAGAGCTGTCTTAGTTCTCAGTCGCTCGCTCGCAGAGTCTTTCCATTTTTCCCCTCGACACATGACATGGTCATCCCATCCCATCTACACACACGCCCACACTCGTCCCTCCAGTCCACGCTTTCCCACTTCGCGCATATATGGATGGCTGTGCTGTGCCCTCTGTCTCACCCGCCCACCCTCAGACAATGACTTACGTACGTACCTACTGCGTACCTACCTGCCTTAGTCACCCTCTGTCTCCAACACTCTGTCGGTCGCCAACTCTGTTACCGCTCGATCGGTCGGTCGTGCCTGTTGCATGCAGAGAGAGAGAGAGAGGAAGTGGCTGGGCTGTGTGTGTGTGTGTGTGTCTGTGAGCATCTGTGCGCGTCGTCGTCGTGTCCCCACTCCCTCCCGCATTCCAATCCATTCCACCATCCATGCGCATGTCCACACACACACGTACATCTATCTATGCACCATCCATCCATCCATCCCCGCAGGTCAAGTCGGCATTCCAATTGAAAGCTGGCTGGCAGGCGAGTGGATGGAAGGTCATCTATAGGGGGCCAGGCCGTGTACGTATCCATATCCATATCTATCTGGATGTATCTGTACCGTTGGTTCGTTTGTTTGCTTCCGTCCATCTATCGGTGTACGTGGTGTGGTGTGATGGTCTCGTTGTTCGGTCTTTTGGGCGCAAACAAAGGGGACGAGAGGAAAGATTGGGGCGGGTGGCGATGGGGTGGAGTGGTTGGCCTGTTGATGCGCTGGTCGCTGGCTCCCGGACAACAGACTTGTCTTGAGGCGATGTACACTATGACTGACCGACACGGATGCATCATGGATCAATGATGTATGGATGGATGGAGAGGGGGTGGCCATGGAGGGAGAGGGAGGGGCGGATGGCTCAGTGAGTGATTCAGTCTTTCGTTCCTTGAGTGACTGATGGTGATGGACGATGATTGACCACATGACGATGTGAGTGTGCGCACGTTGTTCTTGCATCTTGCCTACCTGCTTGTGAGTCTTGTTGTCTTGTTCGCCTGGCTGCCTTCTTGTGCATGCACGTGTGCGTTGCAGTCAATGACAAAGAAATCAGTCTGCTATGTAGCTGTTGTGTTGCTTGGCATGTTTTGAAGGACGTGTATGTACGTGTGATATCGGTACAATCAATTGCAATCCGTGCCTGCTAACGTCGGCTGGCTGGTTGACTGACTGACTGATCGACACAAAGCAAACAACCAACCAACCACACCACACCACACAACACGGAAGCACACATGTCTCTCACCTCTACCCTTGAGCTTCTGCTCGTGCTGTTCATCACCTGTCGTGCGGTCGGCGCGTCCCTCCGCAAAGACCCCGCCAGCGCACTCACATGGCGTCCCCAATGTGTCGGGCGCTGTCGACCGGAGCGGATCTGTGGTGAATTGGGAGAGAATGGGCGACGCGGAGGTGATGGTGCCACAGAAATCGACAATGCACACGAAAGAGCCCATTCAGAAGAAGGGCGAACCCAAGACAGGTAAGACAGTCACTCACATGACTGCCGATGTTGGTCTTCGTTTTGTGTGTCTCAATGTTTGTTTGTCCTTCACTCAGGCACTTTTCCCATCCCCGCGAGTGTGTCGGTGTCTCCCGAGCCGCCAGTCCCGCAGCCACCATCTCCCGCCGCCGATCTCGAGGCCGCATCGGACAACGTGGACAATGAAGAGGAGGACCTCGACAAGACGCCAGACGTGTCACGGGAGGTGCAGCAGATCAACACCAACACTGGCCTGCCGATCGGCTACGCGCCCAGCGGGTCAACTGGTGCGTCCTTCCCTCCCGTTGGCATGCAGGTGCCGGAAGTGCCGACTGGCGCCGATGCGACGTCAGTCGATGAGGCCAAAGTGATCGATGACTTCATGAGGGCTCTCGAGAAGCAGGACAAGGAGGAGGCGCGGTTCATGCAGACGAGCGGCGGCAACCACTTGCTGCCCAGCCTCGCCGCAGAGCACTTGCCGGTGGTGAGTGAAAAGCCTGGAAACAAAGATAGAGAGCGACACACATGGATGTGTCTCATTCTTTTGTGTGTTGTCGCATGCAGGAGACTCTCGCGAAGGCATTCTTGAAGCCGTTTACGCTGACACTGCTGCCCGCCGCGCTCACAGCCACGGGAATGGCTCACGCACTGATTCCCTTCGGTAGGCACATGCACATGTCTCACTCCCCGCATCCATCCATGTCTCCCTCCCTCCCACATACACTTGTCTGTCTGTGAGTGTGTGTGCAGGCGTCAAGCCGAAGAACGCCATCGCGTGTCTGCAGAAGCCCACCTTCATCGCACAGAGAATGTGTGTCAACTCGGCCATGGCATCGGTAACACACGCAGAATGCTCAGCCAAATGACTTCGTCCCTGGATTTGTGAATGAAAGGTCAAGTACTTCGTCGCTCTTGGCACCAAAGTCGCCGCCCTCAATGGTCAAGTGCTCGCCGGCGGCCGCACTGCACAGCAGGCAATGGCCAGGTCAGTCAGCACCGAGTGTATGCATCCACGCATGGCATGCACCTGTGGATGTGTGTGCACGCAGGCTTCGAACGCTGTGGTCGCGCCCTTTCGCCAAGGAGCTGATGAAATCGCTGGGCACGACAATGGTGTGCAAGAACCTCATGTCGCGGGAAATCACACCGGGCAGGTAGGGATGTGCAGACAGACCATCCGGCAACCATTCATCTCTCTGTGTGTGTCTCTGGATGCAGAGCTCGTTGGCAGGCTGGAAGTCTGATCACCTTGCTGACTGACATGCCTGTCGTGTCGTCCATCTCTGACGTGGCGACGGGCGGATACGGCCATCTCAATGTCGTCGTGTCGCGGCCATCCCGCGTCCATCGCGCTGACAAGGCCATCGCCGCACTCAACGCGGGCGCCGATCCCGCAGACCTCATCGACGCCAGAGACGACATCTGAGGGTGCCAGTGCATGTGACAGACCGATGAGCCCACAGTTCGACGGACGACCAATGCATGGCATGCATCAGTGTGTGCATATGTGGACCTGTGCTGAGTGCACGGAGGACATCAAGCCAACGCTTCATATATGGCATAGATATGTCTCATTTTTCTATCTGCTCACGACCGACCATCCAAGCGTCCAATGACAAGGCACTCAACAACTAGCCGGCCAACCAAACACTCAACCACTACACACAGCCATGCATCTCTTCCCTTTGCTTGACACCATAAGGCTGTCACTGCTGCACACTTCGGCGTCGCTCAGCAGGCGACTGCCCGGGCGCCGGGGGAAAGTTGCAGAAATGCGGACTGTTCTCGAGCTCCTGCAGCATCTGGCGGGTCCGCTGTCGCTCGCCAGTGGCGTCTCCTTCAGCCACTTTGGATGCCGCCTGCACTGCTCCAGTTGGGGTCGGGGGGACGGTGTCAGAGGTGCTCGTCTGCTGCTGGTTGTCTGCCGTCTCGTTGTCGCTGTTGAGACGCTGCCGCTGCTGCATCTGGTGTTGCAGCTGCTGCAGCTGCTGGTCGAGTTGCTCCTTTTTCTCCTCGAGCTCCTGTTCTTTGCGGCGCATTTCGTCCTTCTTGGCCTCCACTTCACGCCACTCACGCTCCATTTTCTCCTGCTCTTGTCGGTGGAAGCGCTCCATTTTCTTCTCCCGCTCCGCCGCCCGCTCCTCGAGTTGTCGGCGGAGCCGCTCTTGGATCTCCGAGCGTTCCTGCAGCTCCATCTCCCAGAAGCCCTTCCAATTGTCCAGCTCCCTCGCGTAGGCCTCAATAGCCTGCTGCCTGTCCATCTTGGGTTCTCGGTGGTAGCGGGACTCGTACGACCCACCCTGACAGAAGGACAGACAGACACAGCATGACCAGCGGATGGCGTATGTATGTGACCACTGTGTTGGTGAGACTCACCTGAGCACCATAGGCGTAGCGGTCGTCATCGATGTGTCGGCGATTGGAGCGGCGATCCGCACCGCCACGAGACGCGCGCGTCTCCTCTCGCACCGCTGACACAGACAGACAGACAGACAGACGGACAGACATGTCGATGATGTGCCAGTGAATGACAGAGAAGGGCTATGTGTGTCTCATCTCACCACACCCCTCCTCACCTCCAGCGGCCCGGCCCCCACCCAGGAAGAAGCCCAAGCCCGAGAACATCCCGCCGAAGAAACCGCCACCTGATCCGTTGTCCTGACCATTGTGGGTGTTGTGGGTGTCCGGTGGCGGCGCGTAGCGGCCCACCGAACTGGCCGTCGCCTCCACCTCCAGGCCGGCGTGGTCGATGGGCCTCTGCTGCTGCTGCTGCTGCTGGTAGTGTCGTGACGCACCACGCGTCGTGTTTTGGGGTCCGAGTGCCGTCTGAGTGGTCATGATGCTGCACTGGGTGCCTCGGGACACGACCGATGACTTGCTGACTTTGCTGATGTTGCTTGGAGCGCGGTAGGCTCGACGCGAGGAGTAGTCCGGCTGGCCGCCCACTCCGTCCCAGCTGAGGCCGTGGTTGGTCTGGTGCTGCGAGTATGAGGGAAGCCGCCCATCATATCGGTGTGGCCGAGTGCTGAGAGGAGCACCACCGTAGGCGTCGTTCTGTCCAGTCGACGTGAGGCGGCCGCTGCCATACTGCTGCGCCTCCCTGCTCATCTGGCTGGGGTATCCGGCCGGACGCTGGGGCTCCTCCGGACGCAAATACGGGTAGGCGAATTCATAAGCGTCGTAGGCTGCGGACTGAAAGGTGAGAGGGAGCAGAGAGAGCAATAGATCTATATGGGTGACTGCATACAAGGAGTGAACACTCACCTCATAACGGTCGGTGGCCGTGTATACTGGTATGGGTGGCCCGTCATGTGACCGTCTCCATAGCCCCCTCTGACATCGTCGTCTCGTCCTGTCAGCCGCCCATAGCCCACTGCGCCGCGCACCTGACGACCGACCGATACACACAAAAAGAGCGACGAATGGCGACATCCATCCACTCGTAGGTGTTTGATGACTTGGTCTACTTGAGTGTATTTGGAGAACAAGTCGGCGCCATTGCGTTGGTTTGTGCCCTGATACTCCGTGCGGCGGTTGACGGAGACGGGGAGCCCTCCTGCAGCCGGTCCGTCGAGGAACGGGGCGGCGTCCACCGTCTGGTCGGGCACGAACCTGGCGCCATAGTCTGCCGTCTCGCGTGTTGGCACGCGAGCAGGCAACTCGGCCTGCCCCTGCCGGCCACCCTCAGGCTGTTGAAGCTGCAGCTGGTGGGCCACCTGTCGGACCTGTTCCTCAATTGACACTCGCAGCCGGGTCCGTGACTCTCCCTGCCGCAGGACGCTCTCCTGCCTCTGTCGTCGCTCACCCGCCCTCTGATGCTCACGCTGGGCCATCATCGCTGAAACTCCGCTCAATCTTAGAAGTTTCAGGGTTTGTACCCTGAAACCCGAACCCATTCAACAGTGAGAACATCTTTCCTCCGCAGCGAAGATGAGTTCACTCCTCCGAGTGCAGATCATATAGATCCTGTGATGAGCGGGCACCGCACTGGCTTGCTCATCCGCAAACACAGCACGTCCGTCTGTGCGCGTGTGTATGCGTGTGTGTGTGTACAGGGATGTCGAGGCGGAGGCGGTGAGGGCGTCCATACGGATACGCGACGTTGAGATCACTGCAATGCCCAAGCAGACCGCACATCTGACGGGCCAAGACAGGTAGGTGGCTGAAAGAGGGAGGGCGAGAGAGGGGCCAGCCGTGTGTGTACTTGCTGCCGTTGTGTGTTCAGGCCTGTGCCTTTGACTGTGGGCAGCGTTGTGTGGGTGGCTGGGCTCGTGAAACGGCCAGTATATAAGGGCTTCGAGGGCAAGATTACGGCCGTCCTGTCACCCAACTCACTGCACTCCGTGCCAAGCCTCCTTGCCGACGATTGGCTTACCCCAATAGAGTGTGATTCGGAGCGTGTCTGTCTGTCTGTCTGTCTCTGTGTGTGTGCGTCAGGATATCCTGAGGGTTCTGGTGGTGGACCTGAAGGGCATCACAAGGCGTCACGGCCACTCACCCTCCTGACACTAGTGCCAGGCGCAGCTCAAGGAGAACAACAGCGTCAATCTTGCTGACTTCGCCAGCGTTCTTCTCCGGGCCGCAGCTGGCGAGATGACAGCGCGTCGGCAACAGCTCACGGTGGACGCTGCAAATCATGCAGACAGCGGCCGTGTGTGTCCGTCGAGACGGCGATGAATCTCCTATCCGTCTACCGGATCTGCCATATATTGGCATCCTGGGCCCCGCCGTCAGCCCAGCTGTCACTGCCCCTGTGTGGGAAATCGGACGTCTTTTAGTGGATCATTCGCAGAAGGAGGCGGCCATTCGTGTCATCGAGAGTGCCTGTGTGTGCCCCGTCACAGGGCACACGGGCAAGTGCAGCTTGACCCTCTGGTTCGCCACGTGGCTGACGGTTGTGAGCGTGGAGGCGTGGCTGCGGGGCCGGAGCTGTGCCGTGTGTGGGGAGAGGTACAAAGCAATGGGTGGGTGTTTGACGTGGGCAGAGAAGACGGCCTGGAGGATATTGTGGCCTTCGGCGGGGAGAGGCAGTGAGGCGGGCAGCTCAGCTCATGTCGGTAGATGCCCCTGTGCCTGGTGCTGTTGAAAAAAGGCGGCGACATATCTCATATGTGAAGGCGAGGGATGGGGACGTGCGAACGATTTGATATACGGGGGTTGTGAGGGCTTTAACGACTGTGTCTGTCGATTCCTCGGGGTGGGGGAGCCTGACTTCTCGTGTGTGTCTGTATAATGTCATTGATACCAACTGCTGATGATCGACCGCAAGTGTCGCGGCTGTGACCCGCCTGTCACATCATTACTGCATGACATCGTTCTCTCTGTCAATCGGTGTGCCTGTCGGCCCTCGCTACTCTCTCTGCTCATCCCCCCCATCCCCCCTGCGCACACACACACATCCCCCACGTGACGAGACAGACAGACAGACAGACATTCAGACAGACAGACAGACTGCATGCAGCTCACTCGTGTCTTCCACCCAACTCAGCACCCCGCCAAAAGAAAAGGAAAACAAAATGGCGGTTTTCTAATTCGTTCGCTGGCCGCAGTGATGTTAGACGCAGGTGCGGGTGAGCTTCCTCAGCTTGTACAGGGGCTCGAGGTAGTCCACCGGGAGGCACACCAGCCCCGAGCCACACCCGTGCCCGAAAAACGTGTCACAGTAGTCGCCATAGTCACCTCCTGCCATGCACGCATGGCACAAAGCGACGGTCAATGCGCATGCGGGTTGACGATTCAATTGCCTCAATACTGTAATTCAAACAATTGAATTCGCACCTTGCAGCGGCCCTCGGCGGAAACTTTCCCGAAGGAGTTGACCTCCTTGTAGCACTTGTCCGTCTCGAAAGGGTGCTTGGGGCACTCGGCGTCGTCCTTGCATCCCTTGACGGTCACCTCTGAATGCATCATTCACGGGCGCATGCAACGGCATCAACGAGTGCACTGTGACATTGCAATGCACCAGCCTCGTTGGTGCTGCATGCGTGCCTGCCCACCTGTGAGCTGGCTGCCCTCGGTGCGGATGTGCTTGCCGCAGACGGGGCTGCCGCCCAGCCCCGCGGCGAGCGCCACTGCGACAACGAACAGCGGGAGTCTCAGGAAGGCCATCGTCACGGCACACAACGGGGGCTTTGGTTGATGGGAGAAAGCAGGCTTTTGGTTTTGCGGCCAACACCAACAGGCCTTTGCGCCGTGAGAGCTGCGCCCCCAGCTGTGCATGCGGCCAACACGAGTGGATCGTGCATGCACACCTGGGGGCGTCTGCGGGCTTACCTGCGCGCACTGCAACTCCTTGATATACCTGCGTGTGCTTCCTTTGAAATGTTCGAAGCGCACGACACTCCTTGATCGAAATAGGCACGAGGCTAGACAATCGGCACGGAGGCCAGCGGCACACAGGCACACTCAGTGAGAGGAAGGAAGGAAGGAAGGTAGATTAGTCTCGGCGTACGCGAAGAGAGCCTGTGCCCGTCTAGTCTGTCTTGGCGTTGGGTGCTGGTCGAGGTGCGGTCGGCCGGGCCCATGGGCTGGTCGCGCGTCAGCAGCGAGGCGAAGATCAGAGTCCCGAGGATGTCAAGTGGATCACAGTCCTTGAGGATCAGGGTACAGTACATGGATTCAATCCCGCGTGTGTGAGGCAGTAGTCACCCACCCACCCACCCATTCACTCCGTTCGAACGGTCCCTGTCCATGCTGGGTCAGTGTTCTGGCCATGTAGCGCTTGTAGTGAAGGGCGAAGAGCGGGGCGGTGATCGAATCAATGCTGAATTGCAATGCCGTGCGTGTGTGTTAGAAGGGGGGGGACGCGCCATGCAGTGAGAGGGCCGTCTGCAATGCTTCAAGGCATAGACTTGTCCGAGCGCTCTATGCATCCATAACCGTCCAAACAAACACAACGGGCAAGTCACTCAGACGGCCAGCCGGCCATTCATTTCATTGGCTCATGAACACACACTTCTTCTCACTCTCAGACTGTCTGTTGCAACGAGCGGCCGTGCATACGGGCCAGCCTACACCTCGTGTGGGCGCCCACCACTGGCGGATGGCACAGTGGGGTTCTTGAAGTGGGGATTGCTCTCGAGCTCCTGCAGCATCTGGCGGGCCCGCTGTCGCTCGCCAGTGGCGTCTCCTTCAGCCACTCTGGATGCCTCCTGCACTGCTCCAGTTGGGGTCGGGGGGACGGTGTCAGAGGCGCTCGAAGGCTGCTGGTTGTCTGCCGTCTCGTTGTCGCTCTTGAAACGCTGCCGCTGCTGGCATTGCAGCTGCTGCATCTGGTGTTGCAGCTGCTGCAGCTGCTGGTCGAGTTGCTTCTTTTTCTCCTCGAGCTCCTGTTCTTTGCGGCGCATTTCGTCCTTCTTGGCCTCCACTTCACGCCACTCACGCTCCATTTTCTCCTTCTGTTGTCGGTGGAAGCGCTCCATTTTCTTCTCCCGCTCCGCCGCCTGCTCCTCGAGTTGTCGGCGGAGCCGCTCTTGGATCTCCGAGCGCTCCTGCAGCTCCATCTCCCAGAAGCCCTTCCAATTGTCCAGCTCCCTCGCGTAGGCCTCAATAGCCTGCTGCCTGTCCATCTTGGGTTCTCGGTGGTAGCGGGACTCGTACGACTCACCCTGACAGAAGGACAAACAGACACAGCATGACCAACGGATGGCGTATGTACGTGACCACTGTGTTGGTGAGACTCACCTGGGCACCATAGGCGTAGCGGTCGTCATCGACGTGTCGGCGATTGGTGCGGTGGCCCGGTGGGGACTCTCGTGTCTCCTCTCGCACCGCTGACACAGACAGACAGAGAGACAGAGAGACAGACAGACAGACGGACAGACGTGTCGACGATGTACAAGATAGTGACAGAGAAGGGCCATGTGTTTCTCATCTCACCACACCCCTCCTCACCTCTAGCGGCCCGGCCCCCACCCAGGAGGGAGCCCAAGCCGGAGAACATCCCGCCGAACAAACCGCCACCTGATCCGTTGTCCTGACCATTGTGGGTGTTGTGGGTGTCCGGTGGCGGCGCGTAGCGGCCCACCAAACTGGCCATCTCCTTCACCTGCTGGTGGTGGTGGTGGTGTCGCGACGCACCACGCGTCTTGTTCCGGGGCCCGACTGCCGTCTGTGTGGTCACGATGCTGCACTGGGTGCCTCGGGACACGACCGATGACTTGCTGACTTTGCTGATGTTGCTTGGAACGCGGTAGGCTCGACGCGAGGAGTAGTCCGGCTGGCCGCCCACTCCGTCCCAGCTGAGGCCGTGGTTGGTCTGGTGCTGCGAGTATGAGGGAAGCCGCCCATCATATCGGTGTGGCCGAGTGCTGAGAGGAGCACCACCGTAGGCGTCGTTCTGTCCAGTCGACGTGAGGCGGCCGCTGCCATACTGCTGCGCCTCCCTGCTCATCTGGCTGGGGTATCCGGCCGGACGCTGGGGCTCCTCCGGACGCAAATATGGGTAGGCGAATTCATAGGCGTCGTAGGCTGCGGGCTGAAAGGTGAGAGGGAGCAGAGAGAGCAATGGATGTGTATGGGTGAGTGCATACAAGGAGGGAAGACTCACCTCATAACGGTAGCTGGCCGTGTACTGGTATGGGTGGCCCGTCATGTGACCGTCTCCATAGCCCCCTCTGACGTCCCCGTCTCGTCCTGTCAGCCGCGCATAGCCCACTGCGCCGCGCACCTGACGACCGACCGATAGACACAAAGAGAGCGACGAATGGCGACATCCATTCACTCGTAGGTGTTTGGTGACTTGGTCTACTTGGGTGTATTCGGAGAACAGGTCGGCGCCATTGCGTTGGTTTGTGCCCTGATACTCCGTGCGGCGGTTGACGGAGACGGGGAGCCCTCCTGCAGCCGGTCCGTCGAGGAACGGGGCGGCGTCCACCGTCTGGTCGGGCACGTACCTGGCCCCATAGTCTGCCGTCTCCCGTGTTGGCACGCGAGCAGGCAACTCGGCCTGCCCCTGCCGGCCACCCTCAGGCTGTTGAAGCTGCAGCTGGTGGGCCACCTGTCGGCCCTGTTCCTCAATCGGCATTCGGAGCCTGACGCTCTCCTGCCCCTGTCGCCGCTCAGACTCCCTCCGATACTCACGCTGGGCCATCGTCGCTCAAACTCAGCTCAAACCTGCAATGGTACAGCCAGACAGAGGCTGAGACAGTCACTCCAGTCCGAGGCCCCCAACGGTTTGCCGCATCTTTGCAATCGGGATAGTTGCTTCACGCACACCGTCGCCGGCTGCCTTGTGTCACTCAGTGCTTCGCTCACGTACGGGGAGGGAGTGACTCAGTGCAGCACAAACTAGCCGTCAACTTGAAGGTCGGACTCGACGGCGGCGGGGAGCGGGCCACTGCGCCACGACCAGACGCAGGTGAGACGAACGCTGCCCGACTGGCGGAAAATCCCCTCGCGCCGCCAGCCGGCCAAACCCCCCAACCCGAACCCTGCACCCGAACCCTTTGGCAGCCTCACTCTTAATGCAGTATGGTGGCAGAGCAATCGGCAATTAAAGGCTGCAATCCCATCAGCAGGGAATTCATCAAAAAGTGCATGCCAGTTCGTCGGTTTGTCCGTGTCTGTGTTTGTCTGTTTGGGAGTCAAAATGACCAAATGCATGGCATGCGTGGAATAAGGCGCCTAGCTGCTGATCAGATCTATCTGATCTGATCAATCCCTCAAAAACGGCTTGCTTCATCAATCACTAACAATCACGCCGGCCGGCAAGCGTGCGCATGACTAGCGAACCCGACACGTCGACAAAAATGTTATAAAACACCACACCGCACACCGTACCGCACCACCGTACCACCCACGACTAACACTCTACCACACCCATATTCACACACATACACGTACCGCCCCACCCACCCACCGCACACAAACCCGTCTAAAACCCCACGCCCAGCCGCCAGCCACCAGCCAGCCAATGGCAGCCATCTCTTAAGACCGTCATGATGCATGCATGAAACAAAATTCCGTACGTACGTCTCTGTGTGGGCACCACATTACATACACTGTCGTGTATTCGTGTATGTGCTGGGCCGCACACGAAGGAAAAACACGGAGGGTGGGTGGGTGGAGAGAGGAGGGACATGCACGCACGCACGTACATGTCACATGTACGTATTCACATGCCTTGCTTGCATTGCCAGCTACCGTCTATGCATTGACAAAACAGCCAGCCCATCCATCGCTCCTTCACACACACATGCACACACACATGCACACACACACTCACACACACACACACACAGCGACGAGCCAACCGCACAGAACTGCCTTCATGTATGAGTTCACGTCTGCCTGCCTGCCTGTCTAGGGTGCAGGCAGGATGCCCCCGCCCGCTGGTGTGTAGGAGCTGCTTCCGGCACCTGGCGCGCCAGCAACAGCCCCGTCAGCACCCTCCGCCTCTGAGGACTGACTCCCATCTTCAGTGCTGCTCTCGCCGCCACTCTCGCCTCCATCGCTCGCTGCCTCCCCCTCCCCCTCGCCGTCACTTTCACCCTCCCCAGCCTCCGTGTCGGTCTCCGTGTCGGTCCCCTCATCCGAGCCCGACGTGATCTTGCCCAGCAGGTCCGGGTCTTCCTCCAGCGGCGGGGCGGTCGACTCACTGACTTCCTCCTCAACGGGCTCCTCTTCCTCCTCCGTGTCGGTCACCGGCGGGGCGGACGTCGCCGCAGACGACCCAGAGCCCTCAGTGAGGGCGGTGGGGTCGTCTGCGGTGCCGGAAGAGATGGCCGGGAGGTCTGCCTGTGTCGCGGGGGCGTCGTCTGGCGTCGCTGACGATCCTGCTGACGCTGATGCTGTTGGAGGGGCGGGGGCAGGGTCGGCTTCCTGCGGGTCGATAGGATCTATCGGTGGCGTGACCGCCACTGATGCCTCCGGAGAGCTGGGAGGGTCAATGTGGGGCGTGATGTAGCGCTTCTCGCCAGCTGGCACACACAGAGAGAGATTCAGACAGACCCATGAATAGATAGATGGTCGATCTCTCTCTCTCTCTCTCTCTCTCTCTCACTCTTTGACTTACACTCGGTTTCGCACCAGATGACCCAGGGCACTGACTCGAAGCTCTGGCTGCTGTCCCAGTGCTTCTCAGCCATGCACATCTCCTCGCCAAAACACCCAGACTCCTCCCAGGGCTCACACGGGTTACTCGTGGAATACGCGGGGTCTTCTTCTGTCGTGTTGCCACCACCACCACCGCCTCCAGGCTCAGTCGGGTCGCGAACCGTGCCATCGGCTGCAAGCGATCACCACACCCAACAAATGGGCATGCATCCGACCCAGGGGATTGTTTTGGTGGTTTGGGCTCACTTGGGTTCTCGCAGACTACCCTCCAGCCTTCCTGATATCCCTGGCTGGCCTGACACACCTGCCAACATGACATGTGTGACAGACAGTGCAGTCCCTGTGTTTGGGTTGGGGTGGGTGTATGTCGGTAGGTACCTCAGGATAGACGCATCCGCTGTCCCTGTAGGGGTGGCAGGGCGAGACGAAGCTGCCCAGAGCACCGTCGTTGGCCTGGCCCTCCGGCTCCCGACGGGTACCATCTGATTGCGGGCAAGCCAGCCCAGCAGACCACACACGACAAGCAACGGCACAACAGAGCATCAGATTGGTGGCGGTTTGATTTCTTTGTGAGTGCACTCATTGCAAACCTTCTGGGTTTTCGCACCACAGAACCCAGGGCTCTCCATTCTCTTGGGAGGCGCGGCAGATCTCGGGGTACTCACAGCCTGTCCCCTCATAGGGTTTGCAAGGGTTGTTGTCCGCTCGGCTGACTTGGAGCGCTCGCACGCCTCTCAACAACCGGGCGGAGTGCTCACGCGCCGGGGGATAGGAAATGCTCACCTGCAGACAGACAAACAAGTCGCCAGTAAGATAGGAAGATACTTACATCAACCGATGGATGACACACTGCAGTGCTGTGCATCCTCATAAAGGCGACCCACCTTCTGGCCGACTGCAGGAGAGCACATGACATACGCAAAGGAGAGGACGGCAGCTGTGCCCTTCATCGCCAGCAGCAGCATGACGGACGCTGCGACGCCCTGACCTTACAAAAGCTTAAAGATCCAGAGCCTTGAGAGCGACACTTGAACTAGAGTCGCCGCGTGGAAGAACAGAGCGAAGAGAGAGTGTCCGCTAAGCTCGCAGACGCACATCCTTTAGCTCGCAAATGTGAGGGAGGTTTCGAGCGTGCGGGAGCTGCTGGAAGGCTCTACGGCCACCCATCTACACTGCTGATTCGATTTCGACGGAGATCAGCCGGAAATAGGATGTTCCCATGAGTGCACTCACCCTTTCCCGTTCTCTATCCATCGCTCATCCCGCCAAGTCACCAGCTGCACCGCTCTCTTTTGTCACCACACTCGCCGCAGCGTTTTTTCACCGTCCATCTCTCAAACCGTTCCGCCGCCTGTACACAACGGCGTCGAGTGGTCCCCGTGTTGTGTACTCATTGCGGCACGTGCAGCGGCTTGGAGGGGCTCGGGGCGTTGCTACAATGGCCAACGAAGCAGCGGGCCCATCTTTTGAGCCTGGAGATCTTCAGGTGGGATCATATGTGTGGAAATCTGCCACTGCAGTGCAAAGCGTGACAGTGCATGTCTGCCTGCCTGCCTGTCTGGTTCATTCAGTTGGGGTATATCAATGGCGAGTGGCGAGCGGCGCGCAGCGGCAAAACGTTCGACGTCAAGGGTAGGAAGACGATCGATCACACCTGTGTGCATGGCTTGGTTGCTTCATTCGTTCTTCATTCAGATCCTGCCACTGGTGAGGTGTTGGGGAGTGTGGCATCGATGGGCCGGGAGGACACAGCCGACGCCGTAAGTGCGGCCGAGGCGGCCTTCAAGCACTGGCGCGATACCACTCCTAAGCATCGAGGAGCACTCCTCTACAAGTGGTATGAGCTAATGATGGGCCGCAAGGACGAGCTGGCCAGGCTCATGACACTCGAGAACGGCAAACCCATCAAGGAGGCCGTGTAAGCAAGGCTGCCTCCCCCCCTGCCGTCCGTAGCAAAGGAAACCCGTGTGTGTGTGTGTGTGTGTATGTGTGTGTGTATACCTGTTTACGGGTCCTGCAGGGGTGAGATCACCTACGCCGCCAACTACATCGAGTGGTTTGCAGAGGAGGCGAGAAGGGCCTACGGTCAGTCAGTCAGCCCAGACAGCAAACAAACGAGACACACACCTGCGCCGCCCACTGTGTCCATCCACCGCTTCGTTGTTGTCTCGCTCAGGCCATGTGATCCCTGCTCCCCAGGCCGATCGGCGCATCGTGGTCCTGAAGCATCCTGTCGGCGTGTGCGGCATCATCACTCCTTGGGTGGGTGGGTGACGTCGGCCCACTGGCCAACCAGTGCAGTGCCTTCGTGTGGGCCATGCTGTCTCTTGTGTGTGTTGTCAGAACTTTCCCTCTGCCATGATAACGAGAAAAGTGGCAGCAGCTCTTGCTGCAGGGTAAGCGACCCAGCCTAGCTGCTGCAGTCCCCGGGGGATGCCCGTGTGTGTGTGTGTGTGTGTGTGTGTGTGGTCCTCCACCGCAGGTGCACTGTGGTGTGCAAGCCACCCGAGCTGACGCCCTACTCAGCGCTGGCCTTGGCGAAGCTCGCTGAGCAGGCCGGGATACCACGGTACGGACACAGGCACACGGCACACTGCACACACATGCCATGGCGCCTGTGTGTGTGTGTGTGTGTGTGTGTGTTGACGCCAGTGGTGTGATCAACATGGTGCCCTGCGGGCATGATCAGACACCCAGGGTGGGAGAGGAGCTGTGCACCAGTCAGAAGGTAGGGTAGGTGCCTGCGTCACAGGCATCGGATACATCAACGGACACACACACCTGCACGTCACGTCTAGGTCCGTCTGTTCCCTGTCCTGCCTGTGGGTAGGTGCGCAAGATATCCTTCACTGGCTCCACGGCGGTGGGCAAGCTGCTGATGCAGCAGGCTGCCAGCACCGTCAAGAAGATCTCCCTCGAGCTGGGAGGTGAGGTGTGTCTGGCCGTGGCCGTGCTGCCCGCATCCATCCGTCAACGTCAGTCTGGCCACTGTGCTGTGTGTGGGGCGGGGCATGGTGTGCACTGCAGGCAACGCGCCCTTCATTGTGTTCGAAGACGCAGATCTCGACAATGCAGGTCAGGTGTGGGTGAAGGGAATGGAGTGCCCTGTTGAGGGTGGGTGTGTGTGTACCGCAGTTGCGTCGGCTGTGGCGTGCAAGTTCCGCGGCGGCGGGCAGACGTGCGTCTGCGCCAACAGGTTCTTCGTCCACAAAGCGGTCTTCGAGCCGTTTGCACAGCGGCTCACAGAGGCTGTCAACCAGCTCAAGGTCAGCCTGCCTGCCTGCCTTGTGTGTGCGAGGGAGGAGATGCTTCCCCCTGGTTAGACGTCTATGGAGGTGTGTGTGTGTGGGGGTCAGATGGGTCATGGTTTGGATGAGGGCGTGAGTGTGGGGCCGATGATCAACCAACAAGGGGTGGATAAGGTCATCAGGCTGCGGCAAGACGCCATCAGCAAGGGTAGCACACGCACACACACACACATACACACACAGACAGAGAGAGAGAGAGAGAGAGGGAGGGAGACGGCCTTGCCTTGTTGTCACTCACGTCTCAGGTGCCAAGGTGCTGTGTGGAGGCTCCTCCCGCCAGCCACCAACTCTCGACGACCCACGCCTCGCAAAAGGCACGTTCGTCGAGCCCTCGGTGCTCGACTGCAGGTGGGTGGGTGAATCTCCCTCCACTCGTTCATACCATTGATTGGCTCATCAAGTGTGTCGTTCGGTCTGTGCCTCCAGGGATCTGAGTGCACCTGCAGATCTGCAGCAGGAGGAGATCTTCGGCCCCTTGGCTGCTCTCTTTGCCTTCGAGGACGAGCAAGATGTCATCCAACAGGCCAACAACGTCAGCCACCAACTAACTCCACAAGACAGACACTGCTGTCAGTGTGTTTCTGTATGTATGTGTGTGTGTGTGTGTGTATGTGTGTGTGTGTGTGTGCAGGTACCGGTGGGTTTGGCGGGTTATTTCTTCACTCGTGACGTGACTCGTGTGTGGCGTGTGGCGGAGAGGCTCGAGTACGGGATGGTGGCCGTCAACACGGGCATACTCTCGACGGTTGAAGCGCCCTTCGGAGGTACACACGTTGCCCCGCCCTGTTGTAATGGACCCATTTGCCTGTTGCAACCGTTGCGTCTGTGCGTTGCGCGTGTCCTGACTGACTGACAGGCATCAAGGAGTCGGGGATCGGGCGGGAGGTAAGCAGCTGAGCCGCATAAGCCAGGAGGGATGGAGGGATGGATGGACACAGTACAGTTCTCCCCTCTGTGTGTTTGTGTGTGTGTGCAGGGGTCCTCGTATGGCATGGAGGACTACCAGGAGCTCAAGTACGTGTGTATGGGGGATATGGGGGACATGACATGAGATGACGTGCAGCGCAGCGCTCTGCATGGCATGCCTGTCGATGCATCCGATGCGTGTAGCCGTCCGTGTGCACTGCACGTCTCTGTCTGTGTGGTTGGTTGCTGGGTGGTTGGTTCCTTGATTGACTTGAGGCAGGCGGCTTTCTGTGTCTATGTGGCCTGGCCACGGGCGTGTTGTGTTTCTTTGTTTGTGAGGATTGGATTCTCCGTAGGGATTAAATCTGACTGAATTATCCTTAAGCACACGAGTGAGCGAGCATGACTTCGGTCGTCCAGTCTGTCTGTCTGTCTGTGCCAAACACACACACGTGAGTACTAGGCAAAAGTCCCATCGATTCGTAGCGACCGACTAACCACTCTCTCCCATTGCATTGCACCTACCGTCCGTCCGTCGTACAGTACACACAGCCCATCGACCCGTGGGACTGACTGACCCGGCTGCGCCGATCGCATCGCATCCACCAATACATTCCATTCATTCACTACCGTCGGCTCCCCTCGGCTCCCCTCGCCCCACTGGCACCCACACACGTCACCTGACCTCACCCACCACCCGGCGATCGAGTCAGGTCAGCCATCCGTCACTCTTCCTCCATCCTCGTCAGCCATTCCCTCACCGTCATCGAGGGATTGGGGTGGTTTGGACTGGGATTGGGATTGGTCGCCCCCACCGCATCGTTGACCCGCCTCACCCTCTCGAGCAGTTCCCTCATCGACACCCCTCTCGCCACCTGCGGGGCGGGCTGTGGCTGCTGATGCGGACCTGGCGCACTCTCCCCTGCTGTCGCTGCAGCTGCGGGTGCTGCAGATGGCGCCTGTGCGGGTCTGTCTGAGGAGGGAGGGGCCGCATTGTTGTCGCCCTCGACGCTGCTGCCGTTGTTGCTGCTGGCTGGTGCTGGGCGTTTCTTCTCCGGCCAGAGTGACCTCCGCGGATGGATCAGCATCGGGGCATATCGCGCCTCTGAGGGCGGACTGCGGTTGCAGGGTGGGGACGGCTGCCGGCGGCAGATGGGGCCGCTGGCGTCGAAGTCGGCTTGCCTGCACGTCACCCAGATGGACACACCACACCGCACCACACCACAGCACAGCAAGTGGATAGACTCACGCCATCCATCTGTGTGTGTGTGTGTGTCTACCGTTTGGCCTTCCACTGCTGCAGGAGGTCCTCATCGGCCGCCACACGCAGGTAGCTCTGCAGCAGCTTCCGGACTGAAGAAGAAAGAAAAGGAGACAGGGGGTGCAAAAGATCGTGCGTGTGTGTGTGTATCTGTTGGCTGGCTGCCAGTTGAGGTCAGGTCAGTTTGCGTCCGTCGTGTGTGTAGTACGTTTGTGGTTGAAGGTGCGCCAGACGAGGTTGTTCTCGTAGATGAACTCCTGCTTCGTCACCGTAGCCAGCATCCAATCAGGCACCTCTGTACACACACACACACACACACATCCATCCATCCGTTTGACACCTCTCTCTCCCGCCATCAATCCCTCCCCCCCCCCCCTTCAGCCAAGCTGCTTACGGATGACCGCCGTCAGCCCAAAGTCAATGGCCGCAGGGTCGTCAACACCCACGTGCACATAGCGCCGGTCCACCGTCTCAGAGCCGTCCACCACCTTGCGCCACACGGCGGGCTGAGGCTTGGGCGAGAGGAGTGCGGGGTCGGCCGGGAAGGGGCCCTCAAGCCGACGGATCAGCCGCTTCTTGTGGTACAGCAACACGCCTACCACACAGACAGATAGACAGACAGACAGACAGACAAACAGACAGACATGCACACCCACACCTCAGTGTCTTTCTGTCCGAATGACCTACCTGCCTCACTCACACACAGCCGGTCTTGGGTGGCTCTCATTGTGTGGTTGGGCGGCTTGTTGATGAAGCCCAGCATCCCCCAGCCGCCCTCCGCCTGGTCGCTGGGCGTGAAGAGGTAGTTGAGCTCCACTGCACAGTGCAGCCGGTGGGTCAGCACGTCCACCAAGGTGGTCGGCGGCTGGTCGGCGGTCGGTGCTGGAAGCGATGGAGGGGGTGGTGATGGCTGCTGCTGCTGCTGTGGCTGGTGCTGCTGTGGTGGTGGCGGCGGGAGAGGCTCGTCCGTCGTCTCCTGCCTGTCAATGTCCATCGTGTCACCAGAGGGGCGGGCTGGTGCTGGAGAGGAGGGTGAGGGTGGCGCCGCTGCTGCTGCTGCGGATGCGGCTGCTGCTGCTTGGACGCTTGCGCCATCAGCAGCACCCTGCTCCTCCTTCCCCTCGACCTCGTCAGGCCTGGAGCGGATGATGCAGCCTTTGAACTCCTCGATCGACTCGTCGCTCCACGTGGCTCTTGTCTCCCTCCTGGCATCCTTGAGGTGCTCCGATGCAACGAAGGAGTCCAGCTGTTGGAGGGTGATTGTGGCCAGTGGTGCGGGTGAGGGGGGCAGGAAGGCGATGAGACAGAGCATGTCCTGCACGATGGTGGCGCATAGACCACCACCTTTGGTGACGTATGGATGGAAGGGCTGGGAGCTGTCGGTGCTGGCGGCTCGGATCCACTCATTCACGTAGGCCTCCATGTCGGGGGGACCTGCTGCTGCTGCTGCTGCTGCTGGAGCCGGCTGCGGTGCCTCGCTGGCTGGTGTGGAGGCTGGTTCTGCAGCAGCAGCTGCTGCTGCGGGGGGCGGGGCTGGTGCTGTTGGTCCTTGTGCTGGCGCTGGTGGTGGGGCTTCGCTTTGCGGCGGTGCAGGGGTAGGTGCAGAGGCAGGGACAGGGGCGGGTGATGGTGCGGCATCCGGCATGTCTGAGTCCTCCACCTTGAGCAGCTGCTGCTCCACCCGGGGGTCGGTCAGCCGGGTGCCCTGCACATACAACGCCTGAACACCACAAGGATTCAGACACACCCGCCCATCCATCCATCCATCCATCCATTTGCCGACCCACACTGACTGACCACTTTGGGTGTCTGGTCGGGCGGCGTGAGGTAGAGCCAGAAGAGGTAGGTGGCCATGCAGTAGTCGGGCGACCCACGAGCGTCACTCCAGAAGGGGAACCTCTCACACACGTCCAACACACTCGTGGCCTCAGGCGCGCCCCCGCCCCCACTCGCAGCCACATCGACGTCCATCATGGTCGCCGAATCGTCCTTGACGCGCTTCAACGGCGGCTCCTTGCTGCCCTCATGGTCGCCATTCTGCTCCCTCCCTTCCGCTGCTGGTGCTGGTGGTGGTGGTTGTGGGGTGGGTGTCGTCTGGTGCATGGTGTGAGCCTTGTGCGTCTTGGCGTTGTGTGGGATGCGGAGGCAGGCGTCGGCTTCGTAGAGGTGGTCGAGGTCGGTCCAGGGCCGGGTGTCATAGAACATCATAATGGTGCCTGAACGGTGAAAGAGTCAGTGAGGGAGTGATGCGTTCGCCCAGTACGCC